GCCTTAAGTTAGTCAAAACAACGCTGTAAAACACATGCCAGATCCTTCTACACACATTAATTTGTGAGCATTGACTTGTTAATTGTAAAACAAGTTGTGACATTGTAAAGTGACATGAATATTTGGTTCGAAGACCTTATTTTAGGTAACAAATGGGAGTGTTGACAACAAAACACACGTATACAAAACAAGGAATACTGTATGGTTTGAACCTAATCATACAGACCTTAACTTCCAGGTTTTTAGACTCTATATAGAGCTATAAATGGCAGTTTTATGCTTACCTACTATTAGAAATGGCAGTTTAGGCCTGAGAACGCAAAACTTAAAATAAAAAAAATTTTTATTTAAAAATATTATAAAACATCCAGATAGTCATGAAAATTACATCTTAAGCCTAACTTTACGTTTTTATTGCATTTATAGCCTTTGAAATTTCAAATTTTAATTTTCCCGCCATATTGACATTTCGTTCCAAAGACGTTTTTTGCCATTTTTAAATATAGTCAATCCAAAAAATTAACAAAATAAACAAAAATAAGAGCTACTTAATCAGCAAACATAATTTAAAACTTAAAAAATCTACTTTTTGATGCCAAAAAACGCGAAATTCAAAAATTTTTTTTTTCAATGAGCCATTTTTTTTGGATTCCCGCGGGGATAAAAAATGACCCTTTTTTTCGGGTCCCCGTACCCGCGGGGATTTTTGCAAAAACCCCCGCGGGTACGGGGATAAAAGTTTTTTTTAAAATATTAATTTTTTTTGTAAAAAGCGTTTATTATCATGGAAATAAAATAGCGTATAAAAAGCGCAGGCATTATAATTTTTTTTTTGAAATTAAAAAAAAGGTTCCTAATTTTATAGCATCATTTTAAAAATGATTTTACAACTATTACACTACTTTTTACTTTAAAAAGTAGTATTTTAAAATTTTCAGTTGTCCCCGTCATCCCCCCCCGTACCCGCGGGGATTTTTTCATCCCCCCCCGTAAAAGCGGGGATGAAATTTTTCGAAAACGGGGGGGGGGTACCCGAACTTGCGGGGATGGCTCATCCCCCCCGTGCCGAACCCTAATATATACCCACATTTATCTAATTTTAGGCCTCTTCCCTTATAATCAAGCTTTTCGTGGTGAGACCAGGCTTGGACGTAGGGCGTTGCCCCCTGTGCCCGACCCGGCCCGGCCCCCAGGGGCCGGGCCGGGCCAGGGCCCATTTTTACGATCAAGTACAGGGCCGGGCCGGGCAGGGCCCATGATTCCAACCGGGCAGGGCTTGCTTCGTGCCCGGTAATGCCCTGTAAATGCCCGGTAATAATTTTTCATATATAAAAAAAATTAATTTAAAATTGTTGAGTGTCTAACAAGTAATGTTACTTACCCCACTTTACTCCTGAACATTTTAACTCTTTCCAACCTCATCCCTAATCCTTTTATCCCTACCCGACTTCAGCCCTCCTAGCTTAACCCTACCCAACCTCACCCCTGACCCTTTTATTTCTACCCGACCCTACCTTTGACCTTTGTAGCCCTGCCCGATCCTACGCTACCATATTGTACCTAATATGCCACACCCCGCCATACCCTATCCTATCTACCATACCAAACCCTACAATACCCTACCATTTTATAACATGCCATGCCCTACTATACAATACCATATCCTACCATAACATAACATACTACATATACCATACTGTATCATATCTTACCTTATCCAATCTTATACAACACTACTGTGTACTACCCATAAGTAAGGTAGAGTAGGTAAATAAAGCAAGATAAATGGTATAATATAGTCAGGTAGAGTATGGCATGTTATATATGTTAGGGCATTGTAGGATTTGGTATGGTAGATAGGACAGCATATAGTATGGTAGGGTATTGTAGGGTTTGGTATGTTTTGTTTGGTAAGATGAGTATGATATAATAAGTAGCATAGGGCATGGTACAGTACAGTATGGTATAGTAGGGTAGGGTAATAAAGTCAAGGGTAGGGCCTAGTAAAGCTAAACAGGTCAAAGGTAGACTTGGATAAAGCTAAAGACGTCAGAAGTAAGGTTGAGTAGGTCTAAAAAGGTCAGGGGTAAGGCCGGGAAGAGCTAAAAGGGTCAGGGGTGAGATCGGGTAGGGCGAAAAGGGTCAGGGGTGAGGCCGGATAGATATAAAGCAGTTTATTTCACTTGTTATTAGCTTTATAAACTTAATTTACAAATGCCCTGTAAAACCCTGTAAAGCCCTGTAAATGCCCTGCCCGAAAACAAAAGCCCTGTACCGGGCAGGGTCCAAGCGGGCCCGGCCCCCAGGGCCGCAAATTGGGCCCCTGCCCTGCCCTACGTCCAAGCCTGGGTGAGACCCAAATTAAAAGCATAAAAATCACCAAAACTAATCCAACCTAAACAAAATGTGTTGTAAACAAAAATCCTTTACCTTTTAAAACAAAAAAAATTCTGAAGTTAAGATTTTTAGTCAATTACATATATTAATAAAAAGTGCAACCGACCGTGTACTTAAGCATAAATAATAGGAATTACTAACCAAACCTGTGAACTAATATAAAAATTTACATTTTTATTCAAAAAACTGCTTGTCTATATAGCAAAGAACAAGGTTTTTACATTTCAACACTTAGTACAGCATTTCTATTGCAAATAAAGCCCATATTAATGAAAAGGGACATGTTATACGATGAAAAGTGTCCAAGCCAAAAATTCTCAAAAAATTTTATAAAAATGTTGATTTTTAGGCTTTTTACATTGAATTTTTATAAAAAACATCAACATTTGACTTTGGTAACGGTTTTAAACTAAAAAGTGACATGTTATACGATAAAAAGTGTCCAAATCAAAAATTGTCAAAAATATTAATAAAAATGTTAATTTTTAGATTTTAAACATTCAATTCATATGAAATGTATTTAAATTCGGCATCTATAAGTGCTTAAAATCAAAAAAAAGTGACATGTTATACGATAAAAGATGTCCAGCCAAACAAAATGTCAAAGTAGCAATAAATACGTAAAAATGACAAAAATTCCCTCACAACACAATAAACCAAGCAGATTAGCATTGTAAAAAAATTGTCTTCACAAGTGCAATTGAAACACAATCGTATGTTGACGTTGGTATTGTTTTTTTGGAAGTGAAGAAAACTTTTCGCGGAATCGAGTATTATATTGTGGTAGGGAATGTCTCAGAGTTTAAAGATACTCTCAACAATATACGTAATTTCAAAGATTAGTAATCTTAAATTGTCTACGGTGGCAAATTGTGGCAATAAAATGAGAAATTTCGTAAAAAATTTGAATTTTTAGTTTCCCGCCAAATTTGGCATTCTGTTGCAAGCAGTTTTTTCTTGATTTTTAAGATACAGGCATCACGGAATCGTATTTTACTAATTAAAAACGTAATTTTTATAATTTTAAAACCCTCATTTAATAAAAATTCAAATTTAAATTTTCCCGCCTATTTTGGCATTCCGTTGCAAGTACATATTTGTTTTTGTTTTTTAAAAAGAAACATTCCACCGCGTATTTTACTCAATAAAAAATAATTTTAGCTTTTACCTTAACTTCGTAAAAAATTCAAATTCATAGTTTCCCGCCAATTTTGGCATTCTGTTTTAAAACATGAATAGCTTATGACAAGTATGAGCTGAATAAACATTTTTAGCAACTAAAAAGGCAAAATTTCATCATTTTTAAAACTTAATTTTAAAGATTTCAAATTTAATTTTTCCCGCCATAGTTGGCATTCTGTTTCAACGTGTGCTATGTAGACCAAAATGCCATTTGAAGTTAAAAATACTATTTTAGTACGAAAACAGTGTAATTCTGACTAAATTAGTAATCACCTTTTCTTGCAATTGAAATGGTTATCCATTTCCGGCAATAAATTGAGAGATCAACGGAAACGAAGGTCACTGTTCTTTGTCAAAGTCTTCCTTTATTTACCCCATGTATCATATAATCCCTTATGTTTTTGATTCGTCATTGTATCAACAAACAGAAGTTTTACTACTCTAGCCCTTGCCTACCCTACCCTACCCTACCGTGCTCGGTCGTGCCATACCGTATACTGAGTCAGTATACGGTATGAGCAGGGCAAGACAGAACAGGTCAGTAATACAGTAATACTGATCTGTCCTGTCTCGCCCTGTCCAGTCCTATTCTGCTCCGCCGTGCAGTGCCGTACCCTACCTTACCGTACCCTACCTCACAATACCCTACTACCTATTACCTTACCTTAACCTAACATTTACAATTGCTAAGCAATCCTACTTTATCCTAGGCTTTCCTTTTTAAGTTATTAAAGCCGGCATCAAGGCTTGATGCCGGCTTTAATAACTTAACTTAAGAATATGATGAATCAAGTCTACCTTTCCCTACCTTTAAAACCCACTTTACCCTACCCTACATTTTTACCATATTCTACAAGATAGAATTGTTTTGTTGACTTTTTCAACATTTCATTGAATTTCAAAATTTATTTATAACTCTATGTCATTCCTCTCAGTACGTGCATTTCCAGAACGCATGTACCTTTGCATCGTAGACCTGAGTAGGAGGCGAAACAAAAAGTGTAGAGTTAATCACTTCATGATGTAGTTTTAACTCAATTTGTTTCGTAAAATAACACCGTCCCTTGGATTAACCGCATTTAAATACAATATAGTATGAAGTATACGATGCTATATATTATGAAGTATGCAATGCTATATAGTATGAGGTATCCATTGTGATAATGTATGAGTATACGTTATTAGATTGAGTATATATTGTTGTATAGACTGAATAGGTATGTCAAATTTAGACTGAGTATAAGAGAATTGAGCAGAGAACCGATTTGCAACAATGCAGTAAAGTAAATGAATGTCGTGTCAGGTAAATAATGGCATATTTTTGGAAAAAAGGCATTGACTTTGTGAAAATATACGTCAATTTAAAATTTCAAAAATTTTTTTAATAATGATTTTTAAAGGTTATGGCTTAGGTTACTAGCTTAGAATGGAGGTACTTGCTTAAGCATAGACTCAGGATTAGGCACAGGCTTAGACTCAGGCTCAAGCTCAGGCTTAAGCTCAGGCTCAAGCTCAGGCTCAGACTCAGGCTCAAACTCAAGCTCAAGCTCAAGTTCAAGCTCAAACTCAGGCTCAAAGTCAGGCTCAAGCTCAGGCTCAAGTTCAGGTCCAGACTCAGGCTCAAGCTCAGGCTCAAACTCAGGCTCAAACTCAGGCTTAAGCTCAGGCTCAAGCTCAAGCTCAGGCTCAGACTCAGGCTCAAGCTCAGGCTTAAGCTCAGGCTCAAGCTCAGGCTCAGACTCAGGCTCAAACTCAAGCTCAAGTTCAGGTCCAGACTCAGGCTCAAACTCAGGCTCAAGCTCAGGCTCAGGTTCAGACTCAGGCTCAGACTCAAACTCAGGCTCAAGCTCAGGCTCAGGTTCAGACTCAGGCTCAGACTCAGCCTCTGTATCAAACGTAGGTTTGGGCTTACATTATATTTAAACTTACATGGGAAGTCACTTAAATCGTACCTCGACTTTAGGTCGAGACCTATATATTCTTAAAGCCCTGTAATGCTAGGGCTAGGGCTAGGGCTAGGGCTAGGGCTAGGGTTAGGGCTAGGGCTAGGGCAGGGCAGGGCAGGGCAGGGCAGGGCTAGACAAAACTAGAGCAAGGCTAGAGCAAGGCTAGGGCAAGGCTAAGGCAAAACTGGGGCTAGGGCATGACAAGGTAGAGTAAAGCAGGTTAAGCTAGGTGCTATGGCTACTGCTAATGCTAGGGCTCTGGGCTAGAGCTAATGTATAATAAGCTTCCTACAGTATCTATATTTCCTAAAATAGCTAATCTATGTACTTAATTCTAACTTTCAATTAAAAATAGTTACATTATCAATATTCTACTTCCGCAACTTGTAAGACTTCTGAACCCATGGCAATGTCTTCGACCGAAAACATATAAAAAATAGCTCAATACACCTATACACCTACATGCACTTTTAATCATATTGTCACGATAATACTATATGTACTCACAAAATAGATCTTCGTACAAAGTAGAGTACGGTCTGTACTGAACGTATATCAAGTTACCTTGACCACCTTGAGACAATATATATAATAGTATGTTAAAACCAAAGTACATTAAATGTAACAAAAGCATTCATATCTATAATAATATAACAAAAAAATATTTTTATACAAAGGTAATTACATAATGTATAACAATTTGTACTAGTCAGTACAACAATATAAAGTCAATTAATTTTTAATAGAATCATGAGGATTTAAATGCCAAAATATATGTTATGTACGCTCTACAAAGATACGAAAGCCTATTTTTAAGTTAGTATAGTAGGCGTTTTTTATAATTAACTTAGATTTAAAGATTTAAACCTGCTATAAGCAACCTTATTGTAAAAATCTTCAAAAAAGTTTGGGTTACTGTAACTTTTGTATATTGTAAGATAAAAATGTAAAAACTGGCAATCTGACATAACTTTTCATGCTCTTTCTAACAGCACTACTTCTACAATACTTTTTGGTACCACTTTTCTATCATCTGGTACTCTTTGATAGCTTTACATAGAAAAAACCCAATAAAACTTAAGTTACTGTAACTTTTGTATACTGCAACTTCAAAATGTAAAAATTGACAAATTGACATAACTTTGAATGTGTCCTCAAATGGCATAACTAAAAGAATAATTTTTGATACCACTTTTCTATCATCTGGTACTTTTTGACAGCTTTACATATAAAGAAACCGATAAAACTTGAGTTACTGTAACTTTTGTATACTGTAACTGGAAAAAGTAAAAATTGACAATTCGACATGACTTTTCATGCTCTTTCTAACTGTACTACTTCTAGGCTACTTTTTAGTTAAATTTTTCTACCGACTGGTACCCTTTGATAGCTCTTCATACAAAAAACCCGATAAAACTTGAGTTACTGTAACTTTTGTATACTGTAACTTCAAAATGTAACAAATTACATTTTTACATAACTTTTTACACACTTTCAGATGACATAACATACAAAATAGTCTATAGCGCCACTTTTCTACTATTTCCCTTTGATAGCTTTACATATAAAGAAACCGATGAAGCTGGATTTACTGTATCTTTTGTATGTATACTGTAATTTCAAAATGTAAAAAAAATACAGTTTGACATAACTTTTTATGCTCTTTCACATAACAATAATTTTTTTGCAAGCGTTTTGTCATAATGAAAATGTCATAATGACTTCAATGCCATTTTTAACAATATTAATATTGCATAAACTTTAGCAACAACAATTAAAATGTACAAGCAAAATACATTGCTGTAAACGTACGACAAGTTGACGCACGTCAAAAAAACTAAATTTACATATCGGAGTAGCTATTAAACCTTAATGTAATTACTCCCGCTACACCCAATATCATAATCTCATAACAATGACATTTTTAATAGACATTATTTTTAGCACGTTTTATTGTCGCGCGACAATGGAAATGTCTTAAAATAGTGGGCTAGTGCATTATAATTAAATCAAATTGCTATTAATAGCTGTATTACATATAAGGTATGTATAAGGTACCGTAACTTTTGTATGTCAAGCTACCAAAGGGTACAAGTTGATTAAAAAATAGAACTAAAACTATTTTGTAAGTATTGTTACATAAGAAACATAAAAAGTTATGTTAAACGGGAAGTTTTTACATCATGAAGTTACAGTATACAAAAGTTACGGTAGATCAAATTTCATCGGTTTTTTTATATGTAAAGCTATCAAGGGTTACCAGTTGGTAGAACAGTGGCTTCAAAAAGTATTGTAAAAGCCATGCCATTTCATTTAAACCCATTCAAATTGCTTAAAATTGCTCTAGAGACATGTTATACGATGAAACATGCCCGATGAAAATTTTCAAAAAATGCTTTACTGTATTGGTTTATATGTAGTCTGATACTAATACAAAACAAAAAAATGTCGTTAGTTACCATACCATAACTTACACCTATGTTACAGTACCCTCTAATTCACACATACTCCCACCCCCACCCAATATGAAATATATACACCATGATGCACATAGCCTAATAAAAGCTCATAAATAATGAAAAATAAGCGTCATTCCTACTGTATACACTTACAGAGTCTAGCATGTGTATCATGTCATACCAAGCAACGTTTTTTCATAAATCATATACAATGACATCGTACAGGTGGTATAGGGTCCAGTTACTGAGTAAGAACTCTGCAGCATACCTAAACGCTTCAGGTTTTAACTCCAAATGCTATTTTTAAATTGGTGTAAGTTTGGGAGAATAATACATTTTTTGGTATTTTAGGTAATAAAATACAAATTTTTTGATAATTTAGGCAACAAAATTAATAAAATTTGGCGAAAACTTTGTTTACAAAGCATAAAATGGCAAGAACTTTCTTTACAAAACAAAAAATGGCAAGAACTTTCTTTACAAACCATAAAATGGCGAGAACTTTCTTTACAAAACAAAAAACGGCAAGAACTTTCTTCACAAAACAAAATAGAGCAAGAACTTTCTTTAAAAACCAAAAAGAACTATAAAAACTGCAATAACTTTCTTTACAGAACAGATTTTTCCTTAAAGCACCAACAACTTCCTTTCCAAATCTCATGTTCCTCAAAAATCGCAATAACTTTGTTTCCACATCATAAAAAAACAAAAAAAAATCAATATAAAAAAATAAAAGACAAAAACTTTCTTTCCAGACCAAAAACATTCATAAGCATTTCGTTCAAAAACTTTATTTCCACAAAAGAATGGATTCAAATTTCGCATAAAATTAATAAATGTTCACATTGGCATCAAGATAGTACGACGTTTTGGTGGATTCTGATGCTCGTTTTGTTGAGTTTGAGCCTTTGGGTCGGTTTTTTCGACCGCCGTGTTAACATCGGTCGATTTCGCGGAGGGCTGAGGAGTACCTGAAATGATAATGATTAAATAATGGCAGAAACTTTGTTTACAACACGTTTTTCAAAAAAACCGCAAGAACTTTCTTTCCAAAACTCATTTTTCACAAAAACCGCAAAAACTTTCTTTCCAAAAACCAATTTCTGAAAAAACCGCAAGAACTTTCTTTCCAAACCTTATTTTCCACAAAAACCGCAAAAACTTTGTTTCCACTTACTCCTAGGTGTTCTAGCCCCATTCTCCAAGCCCGGACCAAACAAGGCGGTAGCCGGTGGGTCTTTTCCGCTCCAGAACTGGCTTTCCTTCTTTTCGGGGAACTGACTTTCGCTAAGCGGCGTCCCTGAGGTCGGTTCGGTAGCGCTTCTTTCGGCTCCTGTGGCTACTAATTCCGAGTGGAGGGGGGTCATTTCTGAAAAATAGGGTATTTCTAATGTAAAATGACATTTACTAAAGTAGGGCCAACAAATTAAAAATGGTGTCAAAAAAATTTTAAAAATGGTACTATAATGAACAAAAACATCAAAAATAGTGCCAAAATAAATAAAAAAATTATGCCAAAGCTAACTATTAAACACAAATAGTACTAGCAGCTTCTAAAAAAAAAACGGTACCAAAAGAGACGCTTAAAACAAAAAATGGCACCAGAATAAACAAAACAACGTAATAGTACTAATGTTTTAAAAAATAAAAAACGGTACCAATAAGAGGTAACAAAATAAAAAATGGGACCAAATTAACCAAAAAAAAATCAAAATGATACCAAGGTAAGTAAAACATATAATAAAATTGTACCACAGAGACCTAAACTATAAATCCTACTGATAGATATTAAAAAGTGGTACTAAAAGTGTTCTAAGGAAAAAAAGTGGTGCTAAAATAGACCGCTAACAAAAAAATGATACCAAAGAAAAACCGTAAACAAAAAATGGTACCAAAGGTGTCCTAAAGAACAAAATGGTACTAAAGTAGTACCGTAAACACAAAATGGTACCAAAATAAGTCCGTAAACAAAAAAATGATACCAAAGCAAATCCGTAAAAAAAAATGGTACCAAAGGAAGTCCGTAAACAAGAAATAGTACCACAAACCCAAAACCTATAAATAGTACTAATAGTACAAAAAATGAAACAGTACCAAAGGAATCCCAATAATAAGAAACAGTACCAAAAAACTCAAAAATTAAAAACGGTACCACAAGCCCCTAAAAATTTAACAAACAGTACCAAAAAAAACTTTTAAAATCTGGTACTAATAAACTCAAAGAAATTAGAAATGGTACCAAAAACCGCTTCAAAAAGCAAAAAAGTACCAAAAAAAATAATTTACCACAAAGAAACCAGTAAATAAAGATGCTATTAGGTGCCGACATAAAGAACCCGCCATTTTTTACGGGAAATTACAGGCAAAGTATAGCGGGTTCTTTATGTCGGCCAGGGACGTCGCTACGGTTTTTCTCTGGGGGGTGAAGACCCAAAAAATTTTTTTTTCGTTTTTTCACTTACAGGTACCTAACTGTGGATTTTTTTTCGGATCGGCTCTGGGGGGGGGGAGGGGCTTCACCCCGAACAAACCCCCCCCTCCCCCCCCAAACGACGTCCCTGATGTCGACGCCCTATGTGAACAACCTAATAATATATATGAAATGTGTTACCTCTGTTAGTACTGTCAGGAATCGAGGTGAATCCGCTTTTAGCATCAGTAGAACCGACCGAGTTGGCTGGCGCACTTTCGAGGGCTTTCAATTCTCTGCACAATAGTTTCGGATCGGCCGTTGTTGAAGCAGATTCAGAAGTTTGAGGGGCGTAGGTTGCGGAATGGGTCTCGTTCACTCTGGAAAGAAAGTTATTGCGGTTTTTTCGAAAAAAGAGGCTTGGAAAGAAAGTTTTTGCGGTTTCCTCTAAAATAAGATTTGTAAGGAAAGTGTTTGCTGTTTTTATGAAAGTTGAGCTTTGGAAAGAAAGTTCTTGCGGTTTTTCGAAAAATGAGGCTTGGAAAGAAACTTATTGCGGTTTGAGCCAAAAATGAGCATTGGAAAGAAAGTTTTTGCAATTTTAGAAAAAATAAGTTTTGGAAAGAAAGTTATTGCACTTTTAGACAAAAATAACTCCTGGAAAGAAAGTTCTTGCGTTTTCCTCAAAAATGAGATTTGGAAAGAAAGTTCCTGCGTTTTTAGTTAAAATTAAAAATAAGCTTAAAGTTTCCACTTACACTTCAATAGTACCGGGCCTGTACTTCCTAGGTGGTTCATATGCTTCAAGTGACGATACTTTTAAAGGGTACAAGACTCCAAAATAAAAGGCCAAACAGCCTTTGGCCAAGAAGTAGTAGGTCAACAAGAGTAAAACGAAATATCCAAATATAAAAAATCTAAAAAAATTTTTAAATTTAAAAAATTAAAAAATTTTTTTTTTCCAAAATCCACCCCCAAACCTTCAAAAATTACTTTACCCAACAAAAACAGCTTCCGACCCATACTCGATGTAGATGTTTCCAAGGACGAAAAGAGGACGGCCCATAGCAAGACCACCGTTCTGACTGGTGACACAAAAGTAAATAACACAAAAAATGACATTTCTTTTCGAATGTTATTCAAAATTTTATGATTTTATTGAGTTTTTTTATAAATTAGCATATTTTGAAAAATGAAAAATTTTGAAGAATATTGTTTATCTTTTGGAAAGAAAGTTCTTGCCCTTTTTCGAAAAATTCGTTTTGGAAAGGAAGTTCTTGCGGTTTTTGAGAAAATAAAATTCGGAAAGAAAGTCCTTGCGGTTTTTTCAAAAATTGGGTTTGGAAAGAAAATTATCGCTGTTTTTCAAAAAATGAGGTTTGGAAAGAAAGTTCTTGCGATTTTTCGAAAAATGAGTTTGGAAAGAAAGTTCTTGCGGTTTTTCGAAAAATGAGATTTGGAAACAAAGTCCTTGCGGTTTTTTGCAAAATTCATTTTGGAAAGAAAGTTATTGCGGTTTTAATAAATAATGGATTTTAAAAAGAAAGTTCTCGCGCTTTTTCAAAAAATAAGTTTTGTAAAAGAAAGTTCTTGCGATTTTTTGAAAATGGGTTTTGGAAAGAAAGTTTCTGCATTCACAACCTAAATTTATATTTTTCAGTCCGTCTATCATATATATTTCAAATATGTATTCCTAATTTGATACCTATTTTACTGTTATGCCAAATAGAACCTCCTTCTTCATCGTTAAGATTCAGAATCCGTCTACACCGTTACAATACAGAATCTTAATACAAGATTGTGATTCACAAGTCTTTTACACCTTTCAGCTCCAGAATCCTACAACGCCGTTAAAATTCTGAATCCTTCTACACCATTGAAATTCAGAATCCTCATACACCATTAAAATCTTAGAAGCCTCCTACACAAACAAGAGTTCCATCTTCACCGTGACCAATACGAATCAGTTTGCATTTCCTGAAGCCGAGAGACGGTTCGTTTGAAGGCGAAGATCTCTTCTTGGCCGCTGAAAACGTTGGCCGAGCTCCCGTCCTTGCCTTCTGCCACTTTCAGATCGTCCATTAGGATTCGTTGGGAGTCGCTTAGCTCTACTGGATCATCACCGTTCATTTGGAAGAGTTGGTCGAGGCTTGTGGCGGCAGATAGGGCTACTCTGGTCTGGAAAAGCGTTAGAAATAAGATGGATATTGCTTTAAACGATAAAATTGATTAAAATGATATTACCTACCCTCATATCGTAAAAGGTATCAATCATTGTGATGAAGCGCCTGGATTCGCTGAGTTTGTCCCTGGTAAATATTGGCACATTCTTGATTAGTACTGTATGAAAGACTCTGGCAATAGCAAGGTAATCTGTTGCTCCTAATGGTTTTTCGCATAACTGAAAGAATTTATATTGTAGAGGTCATATAAACCCTTCATCAGTTATATATCATGTTGTTCAAATAATTTTGTGCCCCTGACTCCAAAAATTTCTTCGAAGAGGGCACACAATTAATTGACCATAAAAAAATACAAAAGCTACCTCTTTAAACTCCAAAAACGCCACTCTACCACAACATTTAGACAAATGAAGCTCTCGGCCCAATATATTCAACGTCCTCGGCCTAACCGTATCTGTTTCCTGCGATATCAACCTCTTGAACATGTTCTCCAGATGTTCATCTTCTTGCCCACAAATAAAATAAGATTGGCTTGACTTCTTTCCCCCGATTCTGTAGTCTTTTCCAGACTCCAATGTTACTTCAGAACACTTCTCCTTCAACATATCGATAAATGGTACAAACTGGTGCCGTTGCAGCCCGTTTTTATATAAATCATCCGGTTTTCGATTCGATGTGCACACGGCGATCAAGCCTAAGTTGAATAGCTGGCTGAATAAGCGTTTTAGAATCATTGCATCAGCTATATCTGTCACTTGAAATTCGTCAAAGCAAAGTAGATATGATCGCTCGGCTATCGACCGGGCGATTTCTGGCACATGATCGTGTGATGGACGTTCGCCTCGTTGACGTTCTGGACCACGCATCTTTAGTTCATGCAGTTCTGAAAGCTGAGAAAACAGTTATATTAAGTTAGAAAGAAATAGGCAGGCATATATATAGTAATATTATCTACTATAACATAAAAGATAGACCAAAATAAAAACTGACATTTTACTTTTCTCAACGAAAATCATTTTTGACACCTAATAAAACAGTTAATTTACTTTTACACACTTGACAAAGCTAGCAAGTCAATTAAAAATCAAGCCCTGTCTAACACTTAAGGAATTTTATTTAAAGCATTATATCTCCAAACCAAAAAATACCTCAAAAACGATTTTTATAGGGTAGTTTCCATATAAAACAAGCTATATATCCTCAAAACTTCAAAGCTTTATCTTAATTCTATAAAAAAGTTACAACCAAAAATGTTGTCCTTCCCTGATTTTTGGCTACAACAATATGTTATCCTTAATTTCTACGTCAAATCGAGCTTTAACGTCAGAAAAACTCTTAAAAAATCAAATAATATAATGTATTTTTCAATTTATAAAAAAAAAAAATTTTTAGTTTGATATCAAATTAACAATTTAGAAACTAAAATAACTTACGATGATGGAAATCCCGCATAAATTCGTGAAAATGAACTCTTGACTTCTTTTCTAACGGTGCTCTATCAAAAAACATGTCCATTAACATTGTCTTGCCACCGCCTAAAAGTTTACATAATGAACTAGTTGAAGGACACGTATTTTACATCAACTACAATGTTATCATAGGAATCTACACCATCCCATTTTTGTAAACCTTCGCTTGAGCTGTTAAAACTAAAAGTTAAAACACAAAAATCAATCTACTCACCAACTGCACCATAAATATAAAGTCCTTTTGGTACCGTTTTCACGACTTCTGGCGTTTTCTCCTTGAACAAGCTGAATTTTGACAAAAATCCAGCATTTTCAATGGTTTCCACCGACTGTGGTTCGTATCCTTTGAGATCGTCACATAATCTGTCCAACTCCTTAACCACAGTTAACTGATATTTGTCTTCAGACAACGTCCCAGCCTTCACAAGCTCATTATAACGTGCCAAAACACTTTGAAATCGTTTTGAACCTAAAAATCAAGTTAAAATCAAGAAAATCTGAGTGAAAACTTACGAAAAACATGTAAATTAACTTGTAGGAGACGGGACATATCAGTTACAAGATAATTATGGCGTTAAAAGTGTACAAAACGTCATAAATGAACGTTCTTTGCGAGAAAACTTTGATCAGACAAAAAATAAAATGTTATTCCAGAAAAGCAGTCAGGATTTCTTGGAAGTAGGTCAGTGCGACGGAGTTTATATAATTAAAAGACGTTTTTTGCACGGAAAAATATATTCTTCTTGCTTTATCTTGTTATAGACTTTCTTTAGCTCGTTTTATCTTATTTTTCTTACAGTTTTACAAATATTTTAATAACTTACACATAATTTACATGATACCTATGTTAATATATGAAAAATTAGTTTTTAACCGCCATTTTTGTTTCTATAACAACATTTATAAACAAAAACTGTTTGTGACGAGATTTTAATATGTTTCTCTCGTGTTTGAATATTTGTATACGTCAGTTTAATCGTTGTTTTCACGAGTTTTATCAAAATTTTGATTTTAGATAATGTGAAATGGTCGAATATGCTCAGGTTCTGCTCTTTGTAGCGTTGTTTATATCGGTACCACTTCAATACTACTTATCGCCTAGTTCTTCATCAGATCTAAAGTTTTACTTAACACAGTAAGTTGGTTTTTTATTTATTTTTTCAAAATTTAGGTTTGTTGATCAAGTTACGGAATGGAAGGATAGTATATTCAAAGAGCCAGAAGAGAAGTCTTTCATTGATGAATATCTGAATAAGAAGAAAAATTTTGAAGACGAGATATTGGATTTAACAAATTTAAAGATTGAGGATGGACATTTTGCATGTAAGTGCTCTATTTCTGGCGAAACGTTCGAGCAATGTCGATGTTAACCAAGGTTTTTTATTGTAAAACGTCTACTACAATGTGTAGCTATAGTTATATTGTTTTAGCATCTAAAACACCTCGAGATCCACGTGCTCCATGGATAAAATACCGGGTTGGGCAGGTTTTTCGACATAAAAAACATAAATTTAGAGGTAAGGACATCAGTTTGATGTTAATATAAGTTTGTTCTAATTTTTATTTGTTTAATAACGGTTTTTGGCTTGATTTTTATATCAAAATGTTCCTCAAAGTCTGCTTAATATGTATGTATAAACTGTTTTTAGTTTTTAATGGGAAACAAAATTGATATACCTTATTTTAGGTGTGATATCAGGCTGGGACGAGAAGTCAAATGCCCCAAAATGGTGGTTAAAAGGTGCTTTGAAGGACAAAAAAGTAAGATAAGTTATATATTATGAAAGTAAGATGTTTTGTCGACAATATAAGTCATGTATTTAGGCTTTAGAGCTATGCTGTACTTACTAAAACATTAAAATTCGCGGCCTACTCTAACATTTTTTAAAATGAAGATTTTTAGGCTTGAAATGATTGAAAATGTATGCCTTTCTGAATAACAGTAAAGATATTTAAATATTGTTTTCAGGAATGGATAAACCAACCCAATTACCTAGTCCTAATCGACATGCGGGACAAGCATCTGCCACAAGTCGCCTACCTAATAGAGGAGAATATTGAAATCATTTCGGGTCAGAGCATTATCCACCCCAGTTTGGAAAAGCATTTCGAAGGCTTTGATGGCTCAGAATATCGGCCTCGACCTTGGCTACGTGTAATATATCCGTTCGGGTAGCTTTTTGTAACAATGGTGCTGTATTTATATTGTTTTAGTTGAAAGGTAGTTAATAAATAGTATATTTTGTATATAAAATCATCTTTAGAGTATTTCTGTCATAGTTGCAGCAGTTCGTACTATACAGTACATTGAGTAAATAACGGTTGCTCAAGCCGTATATCTCTTTAAAAATGTCATTTTGAGCGCCGTATTTTTGACATATATCTGGCTTTCGTACTATAGTACTGTATAGTACTTTTCAAACTTTTTCATACTGTCACTACCGTTCGTACTATATAGCACGTTGGGTATATAACGGTTGCCCAAGCCGTATATCTCATTAAAAATGTCATTTTGAGAGTATTTCTGACATATGTTCAATCTCTCGTTTAGTATTCGTACTATCAATATCTTTACATATTGTCACTACCGTTTGTACTATATAGTATCTTGAGTATATCTGGTTGCTCAAGCCGTATATCTCATTAAAAATGTCCTTTTGAGAATATTTCTGACATATATTCTGGCTTTCATTCTGTATTCGTACTTTTCAACCTTTCTTCATGCTGTTACCACCGTTCGTATTATATAGTACGTTGAGTAGATCACGGTTGCTCAGGCCGTATATCTCAGTTATGACTTTCGTTCTGTATTAGTACCGTCAATTCCTTTTCATACTGTCACTACCGTTCGTACTATATAGTACGTTGAGTATATAACGGTTGCCCAATCCGTATGTCTCATTAAAAATGTCATTTTGAGAGTATTTCTGACATATATTCAATTTTTCGTTCTGTTGTATCGTATAGTACTTAAAAATTTTTTCATACTGTCACTAAATAGTACGTTGAGTATATCACGGTTGCTCAAGCCGTGTATCTCACTTATGACTTTCGTTCTGTCATAGTTACATTTAACCCTTTTATACTGTCACTACCTTTATCGTACTGTATAGCACGTTGAGTATATCACGGTTGCTCAAGCCGTATATCTCATTAAAAATGTCATTTTGAGAGTTTTTCTGACATATATTCAATCTCTCGTTTAGTATTCGTACTATCAATATCTTTACATATTGTCACTACCGCTTGTACTATATAGTACCTTGAGTATATCTGGTTGCTCAAGCCGTATATCTCATTAAAAATGTCATTTTGAGAGTATTTCTGACATATTTTCTGACTTTCGTTCTGTATTCGTACTGTCAATTCCTTTTCATACTGTCACTACCGTTTGTATTATATAGCACGTTGAGTATATCACGGTTTCCCAAGCCGTATATCTCATTAAAAATGTCATTTTGAGGGTATTTATGACATATTTTCTGACTTTCGTTCTGTATTCATACTGTCAATATCTTTTCATACTGTCACTACCGTTCGTACTATATAGTACGTTGAGTATATCACGGTTGCCCAAGCCGTGTATCTCACTTATGACTTTCGTTCTGTATTGGTACTGTCATAGTTACATTTAACCCTTTTATACTGTCACTACCTTTATCGTACTATATAGTACGTTGAGTATATAACAGTTCCCCAAGCTGTATATCTCATGAAAAGTAAAAACCGCCACCTCTCAGCCCTCAAAAATAACGAATGGCGTGCTTTTGCTTTGACCGCTTCCTTTTTTCCGCACAAAAAATTCAAAAATCAATTTTTGCATTGCGCAACTTCGGCGGGAGGTGACTAAAATAAAAAACAGAAAAATAATATGTTTTAGATCTCTACTGCGGAATCCCGATTTTACGCACTTTGTGAAAGAAGAAGACGCGAAAATCGAGTTATATTAGATTTGTCCGTCGCTTACGATAGTTTTATCGAGCGCAATGGCGCAAGTACCGTAATGGTAGTGCAGATACGATAACGAGGCATGCCTCGCAATTATAAATTATTGTTTGCCGATGCAGTTACGGCGTTTGTTCGTGCTTTTATATAGCGGTGTAAAAGCGGATTTGGCAGATCCCTTGCCGAGCATGCCATTTATATGGTTTGTACGCGCTTCTACGAGGTTTAGCCATTTTAGCACTGTGGGAATGCGGTTATACGGAGTGATTACCCGTAAAAGTACTGTGGGAGTGCTCTGTAAGCATTGTCTTACTAATATACTGTGGGAGTACTATATATGATACGGCTTGGGCAACCCTACGAGTACTGTGAGAGTACTGTATCGTACTGTGAGAGTACTATATATAGTACGGCTTGAGGTTTTGTTGCTTTTGTACTGTGAGAGTACTATTACTTTCATAGAGTACTGTTAGAGTACTACATACGATACGGCTTTGGCAACCGTTTAAGTACTGTGAGAGTGCTTTAGTACTGTTTACAGTACGAATTGTAACTATCACAGCCTAGAGAACTAATTATAGTACCGATTGTAACTATGACAGCCTTTAGTACTACGTACTACTTTACACGTCGCCGGTTTCGGATAGTACGTTATGCCTGTACTTTGGTACTTGCAGCCTTTACCCCAGTATTTGACTTTGCAGGTTGGTTTAATTAGTGGCTTGTTGTTGAATCCCATACTTTTATAATATGGTTGATTGTCGGGGTGTATACGGTGGTTGAGATATACGGCTGTTTTAACATTGGATATAGATTTTTGCTTTTGCTTAGTTTTTCAACTTATGTACGAGCGAATTGTATGATACTAGGTTATATATGTCTTGATTTTTTTTTATTATTTATATTTTCAACTTATGTACGAGCGAATTGTCTAATACTATAACATGTTATATGAGTATTGAATATCGTTTTATTACTTATATTTTCAACTTGTGTACGAGCGAATTGTCTAATACATACTATCTTATATATATAAGTATTAAATTTGTTTTATTATTTATATATTCAACTTGTGTACGAGCGAATTGTATGATACTAGGTTATATATATGTCTTGAATTTGTTTTATTATTAATATTTTGAAATTATGTACGAGCAAATACATTCAACTTGTGTACGCGCGAATTATCTAATACAAAGTTAGATATAAATATAATATAAGTATTAAATTTGTTTATTAGTTATTATACCTTGTTTGAACTTATGTACGACCGAATATATTCAACTTGTGTACGAGCGAATTGTCTGATACATACTATCTTACATATTTATAAATATTGAATTTGTTTATTAGTTATTATATCTTGTTTGAACTTATGTACGAGCAAATATATTCTGTTATATGCCGCTTTTTACCAAACATATACAGTTTTAAGTTTTACATGTCTTTTCAACTAACGTGCGGGCGAATTATTATATTGCACTTTGATTATGTAGTAATCTTTGTAATGTTTTGTTATACCGCGAAACCCCTTTATAGATAACTTGTAAAATTTAGCTTCAGGGTTATGGTTTTAAGCCTGAATTCACCTTCAAATTACTTTTTTAGGTAACAAATTTAGTTTTTTAATTATTTTTTTGTTTCGATATTTCTCTAATAGTAAGAAAAAATATTTTTCAAAATTTTATGTTTATCAGCAGTTAAATAGTTTATCAATTATTAAAACAAAAATGAATTTACAATGATCAAACAATGTTAAATGTTAATTTCAATGTTTTGAGATCTGATTCGAGACCCATGAGTTGTTAAAATTGAAAAATTTAAATTGAAAAATGACAAAAAATGAAATAATCTCAAAGAAACACAAACTTTTATGACATTTTAAAATGAATTTTATATTGAGTTAGGTGAGTTCGCCTGGGGCGATGTTTTCGTTAGTAAGGTCTTCAGCCGCTTCTGACAGTGTAGCAGCTTCGATTTTGGACATTAATGGCGCATGCAGGGCCATTAAGGAGTTCAACTCCTGGGTTAGTTTCGGGTCTGGGCTTCTGAATCATGGATAATATAGAAAAAGTTACCAAAAAAATCATGGATAATATAGCAAAAGTTATCCAAAATCATGAATAATATAGCAAAAGTTATCAAAAAATCATAGAAAACACTAAAAAAGCTCAGTCTAGTCCACTTACAATCTGAATTCCTTCAATTTGGCAATTTTATCGCACAAATTCAGACATGTGGCCACACTTTCCTCGCTCATTTGATACTTCTTCATCAAGACCTGCTCGATAGCGATTGGGAACATGACCTCGATGACATACCGCACTCTCTCCAGCTCGTCCAGTCGCGGCAGTTTGTTGGCCAGCTTGACTAGGTTGCTGAACTCGGTGAAGGCCTTGCCCACCGTATCCGACGAGATGATGGCATAGCCGGGGGGTGGCGGCGCCCAGCATTCGAGCGAACACGTTCTGCCGACTCTCCATGATGCTTCGCATGAATTCGGTGTGACGTCGGCGTTCGAGGATGGTGACTTTTTCGCTCCAAATGTCTTCGAAGTGGGCGGTTACGGTGGGGGAGGTGAGGTCGCGGAGTTGAACATGCAAGTCCGTGTGAATTGGAGTGAGGATGGGAGAGAGAAGACTGAAAATTAGCAAGTTAGTAGTACTATATAGCATTATACTAAAATCTTAAAAAGCTTAAATGACTAGTACTATATAAAATTTAAAAAAATTTTGGAAGTGCTATATAGCACGGTACTAAAAATCGAAAAAGCTGGTGCTATAAACTAACTTTTAATAATTTTTTAAGCTTGCGTTTCATTTCCAAGGTAAAAAACCTCATTACTAATCTAAACCCCATTAAAATCCATAAAATGCAAATTTATGTACGCGCGAATTGTCTCAACTTATGTACGACCGAATCACACCAACTTATGTACGGCCGAATTACAAAATCTAATAAAACACACTATTTTAAGCTATAAACACTAAAAATATGCCATAATTTACTTTAGCAAGACCTTTTTATGCTTTCCTGTACCTGGTTAAAGGTATGGAACATTAAGTACATCACCCTACCCATGCTAAACCTCATAAAAATCCTTACTCTTCCTCCTGAACCTTTGACTCTCCCTCAGCCATCGATCCTTCATCATATTTCACAAACTCTTCCAGCTGTTGTTTTATATCATCGATGAAGTCAAACCCATTCACCTTCCGTCTCTTTCCGTTGACTTCGCTTTCAGTTATCGACAAGGCTTCCATTTTCATTTCCTGGAGGTCCATCTCTTCCAAACCGACCTCTGGCTCATTTAGACGACGTTGTTTGATGTTGTTGTACTTGTTATGAAGTTCGTAGGTTCGCTTGACTTGAGTTAGAGCCGATTCCAGTTCGGCTGACGCCTCGTTCTTTGCCATTTCAATAAAATATTCGAGTAGATCGACCGGGAAACGGTAAATTTGGTCGTATTTTATGGTTTCTGCGGGTGGAGTGGTCAAAAATGCGCGGTATGTCATCATTTTTGTGGTTAAATCGACGTCTTCAATCTAAAAATTCAATTTAATTTTGTAATTTTTTTTTCTTCAAATTTTTAAAAAAAGTTTTGAAAATTTTAAAACCACTTATGATAATGCAAAACCAATCAAAAATATTATTTGTCTTTTTCAAATTCCATAAAAACACAAATTTAAAACCCTCTTTGTCAACTTATGTACGGCTGAATTGCCTCAAACGTCATTTTCTACCAAAAAAATAATAAAAACCCTAATTTTAAATACAAAATCAACCCGAATTTTCATTTCTCATACAAAATTTATAAATGATCCTCATTTCGAATGTAAAAGCCAATAAATTTAGAAATTTCATTTTCCAACTTATGTACGCGCGAATTCTTAAAACTTGTGTACGGCCGAATGATTTTAATTGTCATTTAGACCAAACACTTCACTTTCAACGCAAAACAATCAAAAACCTCATTTATAACACAAAACCCTTCAAATTCTTACCAAAATCGGCCATAATCCATAGCAAAGTTTGTTCGGAACCACAGCCAAATAAACTTCGGTCTTGTCCAAAGCCTGTAGCTCCTCCAGACTCAGTGGATCCTTCACATTACCAAACAATTTCTCGTTCAACGATATTTGCCTAGAGATCTTCTTCACCGGAGAGCCTTCCGAAGCCGGGAACTTTCGCTTCTGGCCTAGAAACTTCTCTTCCGCTTCCAGCTTGATGTTCTTCAGATGGCCAGGCCGCTTGACTGGTTTGAATCGAGACATGAGCTGATCGTAGCGATGGTCTCGGATTCGTTGACTTCGCTTTAGTGGTGCATCACCGGATTCTGGCGCTTGACTGGTCGATTGTTCTTGACTGTCTGCATCGAATTTTGTGAGGACTGGGGCGTCGAAAGTAGTTGGAATTGCTAAAAATTCATTATTTTTATTCCATTTTTTAAAATTAAAAAAAAATAGTATCAAAACTAAAAAATAGTACCAAAACTCATAAAAATAGTACCAAAAACCAAAAATAGTACCAAAACTCTTAAAAATAGTATCAAAATCCGAAAATAGTCCCAAAAACTCAAAAATAGTACCAAAACTCAAAAAATAGTACTGAAAGATAAAAATAATACCAAAAATTAAAAATGGTACCGAAATTCCAAAAATAAGTACCAAAACCAAAAAATAGTACCAAAAACTTAAAAACAGTACCAAGCCTCAAAAAAAAAAAGGTGACGAACTACAAAAACAGTACCAAAACCGCAAAGACAGTACCAAAACCAAAAAAAGAGTACCAAAAACGCAAAAATAGTACCAAAACCCAAAAAAATGTACCAAATCCTGAAAATAATACCAAAAATCCCTACCTCCACCCTCAAACGTCCCTTCAGGCAAGTCCACCTCATAGTCCGTGCCCTCGAATCCACTGAAGCCGGCTTCATTCTCGAGTTCATCGGCTTCTTCATTCACATTCTGTCTTGGCTTTCTTCCTCTCTTGTCTTTCGCTTCTGAATTCTTTTCTTTCTCATTCTCCAGATCCTGTAGCAGTGCTGTGTCGTCGAGTACGACCACTTCTTTTTTCGACCGTTTTGGGAACGTTTTGAACATTATTCCGGTTATGTTCGACTGCAACCTGAGCAACGTCGCTTCGGGTAGATCAAGATCAGTCGCAACTTCTAAATCCTTGTTCTTTAAAGGTAAGGCTGATACAGATTTGGTACCCAAAAACTCGTACTGAATTGGTTTTCGGCACAGTGCGGTAACGTACTGTTCTCGGGATAATGGATGGTGAATGATCGGTGCTGATGCTTCCGGTCCTATTTTGAATAGGTAACGAGCAATTTGGAAGGCTAGTGAGAATTCGGCCGATTCTTCTTCGCTTTCCGTGATTTCTAACTGAAAATGGCAGAATTAAGGTTCATAGGGTTAGAGTAAGTAGGTTATGGTAAGGTAGAGTCCAATATCAACTTTGAATTCAAAAAATTTAAAATTAAAAACCTTTTAAAAAAATTTTTAAGTAACAAAACCGCCTACCTGCTTAGCGTTTGTAATCGGAATCAGCACGCTTCTGGCCTTGGTAAAGGGTTTGTCGCCTTTTTTGTATGGCAAAAAGACGAATCGGACCTTTTTGTGCAAGTCCTTATCCACAACACTCGGCCAATGTGCGCCACAGTACTCGGCCAGTACCAGGCGGCCTGGTTGGAAGTGTGGTACTGAAAATAAAAAAAAATCTTGTTTACTTTAAAATATTTTAAAATCGTGATTTACATTAGAAAATTAAAATTTTCCAAAATTCAAACTTGCGTACGCGCGAATTTCCCTAACTTATGTACGGCCGAATTTATCAAACTTGTGTACGACCGAATTTCCCAACTTATGTACGGCCAAATCCCAACATACAATACAAAAATCCTTATTTTGTTCTCCAAACAACTAAATAATCTACGAAAAAAAACGTGCCTGAACGCTATTAACTTTAAAGCAACAACTACTTTATTATAATCCAATGTCAAATCCCAAATTAAAACATAATCTATGAGACGATTCTTCGAAACTCCCATCTAATCCCAAAACAATCTTCTATTCTCGGCCTTGAATCATGGTTGATTACGTTAATTACATGAGTTATTAATCGTTTTCAAATGCTACGGTATGTTTTTTTCTGTTAATTTTTATTTTGACTTCAAAAACTTTCTTTACAGCTCACAAAGCAAAACATTTTTTCACAAAATAACAGTTTTCGTGATGGGACCAAGTTGGACGCCAAGTGTAATATAATTTTCGTCACATCCTTTCAAAAATGCAAAAAAAGTTCAATATATGACACAGTGCAGTATTATAGACCTCAGTTTACCTATATAATCCCTAAATTATCATTAAAAAAGTCAATTTAAAAAATTCATATTTTCGTGGCAGAACCCAATCAATACATAATACATTTGCAGTCTTATAGTTCAGTTTACCTATACAATCCCAAAGATCCCACTAAAAACTACAGTTTAAAAAATCACTGTTTTCGTGGCGAGACCAAACTTGACGTCAAGTGTAATATAATATTAATCATTATACTTTTTAAAAATTTAAAACGGTCTAATATATGATACAAAGAAGTATTACATACACCCATTTATCTATACAACCGCTAAAATCCCCCCGACAACGTCAACGAAAATAAGTTCTGTTTTCGTGGTGGGACCCAAATTGACATCAAGTGTAATATCAAATAACACAAATTATGTTGCAAAAAACATTTTCGAACGCGTATATTAGCCAAGTTAATTAATTCCCCGTATTTTACCCAAAAATCCAGCCATAATTTAAATTTTTTCAACCTTAAGCCCAAGAATTAAAAAAACGGCATATTGACCTCAAAGCCCCCATAAATTAAAAACCTTTTTAAATTTTAAAACTCAATAACCATATTAGTGCAACTCAAAGACACTTTTTTGTTATGAAAAGTGACTTGGTTACCATTGCTCGCTTTTGTGCAGCTAATTCAACTTTTTCTTGTTATCATTGTTTACTCAACAAAGTTCAAACCCCCAATTTGTCGTCTGCTTTTTACGATTTCGGTCTCTGATAGGCCAAAAAGTCAGGGTTTTTAGACTAGATTTTAAGATTTATTACCTAAAAATTTAAAATTTTCAGATTTAAACCCATTTTTAGATATTTAAATAACAAAATTATTAATTCAAAGAACATTTATTAAATTATACCCTGAGGGTATTTAGCTCCAACTGATCTCAAAACGTTAAAAATATTAAAGAAAACCTCTTCTACCAAAAAAATATAATAATCACCCCTGCCAAATAAGCAAAAAAGAAAACTGAATCGTGAAAAATTCCAAAAAAACCCCGCCCCAACAAAAAGCAATTAAAACTACCACATTACACTACTGTTTACATTAAACATCCATGACATCCCATGTTATTAATATTTTTGCGACCTCATGCTACATTTCTTTTGTGTTTGCGATTAAAAATGAGAAGGCAAACGACTACTATTCCTCGAACTTTTATTATTTTTTTGTTTTTAGGTAACAAAATTTTTTGAAATTCAAAATCTTAGATCGCAAACTTAAAAAATGTTCCAAAATTAGATTTAGACTATTAATTTTGAGATCTCTGTCAAAAAAGTTCAAAATTTAGGTAACAAAATTTTTTGAAATTCAAAATCTTAGATCGCAAACTTAAAAAATGTTCCAAAATTAGATTTAGACTATTAATTTTGAGATCTCTGTCAAAAAAGTTCAAAATTTAGGTAACAAAATTTTTTGAAATTCAAAATCGCAGGCTACAAAACTTAAAAAATGTTTAAAAATAGCTTGAGGTCATAAATTTTAATGGTTTTAATCAAAAATTTTAAACTTTGGGTAGCAAAGCATTTTCAAAATTTTAAAGTTTAGGTAACAAAACTTAAAATTTTTTTATTTTAGTAAAAATTTCAATTTTTTCAACCTATCCTACCCTACCATACTCCCTCTACTTACTTTACCTTACCTTATTTCCTCTTGCCTTATCAAACCTTTCCTCATCTTACCATACCTTATCTTATTCTACTCTACTCTACATTTTCACACCCTTACCTACTCTGCCATGCCGTACATATCCTAACATGCCCTACCCTATACTTTATCAGACTAGCAAGTATATTGATGTAAACACCCCGTTTTACCTCAAAACCCTCTAAAATTAGAACAATTACAGCTTAAAACCGCTGATTTCGGCCAATTATCTCCCGGCCAATGTTCAAAACATAATCATACAGCTTAGACATGCCCTGTAATTATTGACAAAATTCATATTTTCATACTTACAATTACTTTTTCTATAATTTTAGAAAGTTTACAATAATTTTTTGAATACTTTTAACAAGTATTACCTAAAAATTACTAAACGAAGGTATTTTAGCTATAAACAGGCCTTAAAACTTCATTTTATCAACTTCCAATCATTAAAACCCTCAAATTTTAACAAAAATACTTTGAAAATACATATAACAACATTTTCTTTTATAAACACAATTACCTTCAACTAGGCATCGAACTCCCTCGGTATTAACCATGAGGCCAATGTTAATACACATATTTCGGCCATAAACACGTGGTAAATCTTTTAAATCCATGTGTTTTGCCATTTTATATTAACAACCCTTGTTATTTGTTAAAAACATTATAAAATTAATTAAATCCTTATTTTTAACATTAAAATGCATTAAAATCCTCACTTCTAATCTTTTAAAAAACCTCATTTCCAATGCAAAAATGCATTGAAATTTTCGTTTCTTTAAAAAATCTAATAAAACCTCCTTTCTCAATTAAAATCCACTAATAAATCCTATGTTCTTAAGCAAGATCTCCAAGAAATCCACTTTTCGCCTACTATAATATAAACAAGAAGACACAGATGCGTATTTTACAAATTTCAAATCAACCAAAACCCAAAACTAATAAAAGTACATTTAAAACTTTGCTCCAACCAACTGTTTTTAATATTTTCATGTTTAAATCCGCTAAAACCCATGAAACTTGCAAACTTTTTTCGCAAAAAAATAAACCAAATTCTAAGAAAAAAGAAAAAAAAGGGCCTGCGGGCAAAAACGTAGCAAAAAGAAACACACAGCGCTCTCGAAGCCCGCACTACGTCATACTACTGTAATTTAAGCTGTAAACAATGTTAAAAGTTGAAACAAAATGGTTTGGAGTTGTTTTGTAAAATTTACAAAACTGAAGGTAGTCAGTCAACCAAGAAAATGGTTATAAAACTGCCATTTATTATTAAACCAATGCTTGTTTAAATTTTTTAAAAACCATTATCTGTTCTCTAAGCCTAGTTATTCATAAACGCAACTAACTCTCACAAAATTCAAGAAAAAATAATGTTTTAGGTAATAAGATCAATACATCCCCGTGTGTTATAAACAACATCAAAATACTCAACGTTCGCTACTGTAACATCTTGACAACCTGATGAATATCATTCACAACACCCTTTTCTACATTTTCACAACAACTGTCTGCTTAAAACCTAGTTCTTCACATAACTTCGATCAAAAAGCCGCAACAACACAAAAAACCCTGAACTCTGCCCACAATTATCAATGTCCCTCCGCCAAAATCCGTCTCACAGACTCAAAAATACTTTCAAAAGTAAGCCTATAGTATTGTTCTGCTATCTAAAACCTATTCACGACAATTCAACACTAAAATTCAGCAGTTCACTCATGTACAACATCAGATACCCAAAGTAAAACCTAAACCAAAAAAAAAATTGAAAAACTAACTTACCATGAACACCAGTAACTTTTGATATTTTTTGTTTACCTTTTGTTGTAGACATTGTGCTAATTGTACCTGAAAATAACAAAGTTTTAGGTTAGGACATCAACAAAACGTTAAGGTATGTTGCCACGCAAAATCCAGGTATATCCAAGATATAAACGTTTGAAACTATGTTGAAAATAACTCGTATTTTATAAAACACACATCAAAAAATACTTATAAAGCATGTTCAGCTCAGTAAACCAAAGAAAAATTAGTGAAACAGCTCAAAACCTACAATAATATCGAGAAATTCAGTTTTTTTTCTAAAAATTAACGAAAAGAAAACCAAAACAAAACTGAAAAATTAAAAAAATAAGTTGTAAAACCTTCATAAACATTTTTAAAAGCAATTTCGATAAGACAATATTATTTTAGCGATCAAAAAACGGAGAAAAAATATTTTTAGTCAAGCCTTTGAAATTATATTTGGCGCGAAATTTGCGCGGCTTGGAAAGTCCATTCCAAGAAACGAAAAATATTGAAGTTTAAAGATGATACCGGTATGTTTTTTTAGTTGTAATTTTTAGTTTACTTTATCAAAAAAACTGTTTTTAAACATTAAACTGATATTTTACTTGAGTTTAGATGTTTATCCTTTATTTTCTTTAATTTTCGTGTTCAATATAAATCTTTAGACCATTTTAGGTAATAATAGATGGAAATTAATGTCTAGTTTGATTTATACTTGTTTGTTGTGTTACCTCTTTAAAGTAACGATAAGAATTGGTTCAATTTTCAGTATAATATCGGTCATTAAAAAAGTCTTGGCGCATTTTTAACGTGAAATCTAGTTTAAACTAACGACAAGACTTTTTTTTAATGTCTTTTATTATTAAAATATGACACTTTTAAATAATATAATGTAAGAAAAGGTATAAGTTATAGATGATATGCCTTTAATTATCTTAACCATGGTTTATTCTCGAATTTCAAACGCTTTTCCATCCAATTGCTCTATAACATCGTCATCGTCAAATATTTCGCATGACAATTGAAAAAAATCGGATTTGTGATACCATACGTTTAAATCTGGGCCGTAGTCTTCAATTCTAGTGTTTGGGTGGGGGGTTGGCTTCCAGTTGGTATCTTGCAAAGTCTGCAAAGCTTTTAGTTATATTTATAGGGCTGTAGGTTAGGGTAAGGTAAGATAGGATAGGGTAGGGTAGTGAAAAGTATAGTAAGGCCGACTAGAGTATCGTAGAACAAAGCAGGGTAAATTATAATCCTTACCCTTAGAGGCACAATCACAGCAATTTCGCAGTGTAAGGCTTTGACAACAATATCTGACTCGACCGCTGCCTCATACATAGCATAAGCTGTACGAAACACTTGATCTATCAACTCTCTGTCATACTTCATCATTCGAATTGTCATCTTCTTTATCAGCACTAAACTACAATCATTGGTTGAGAGGTATAGTTCTTTAAGAAGCCTCGAGAAATACGATTTCATTACTGTAGGATTAATGTAAAACAACTTGTATCCAGCCGTTATGTTTTGAAGATTTGGCAGTTTTGGAAGCCTAAATTTATATTTTTGTACAGGTATGGCAATGTTAATATGGCCCGACATAAAGAAATCGCCATTTTTTAGAGGAAATTAGAGGAAAAGTATGGCGGGTTCTTTATGTCTTCAACTAATAGTTAAGGTTTTTAAAATATGTCATGGTTACTATCTAAGGTTTACATATAAAGTCGGTTTGAATCTTTACTTACGGGCAATAGTCAAGCAATCCCAAGAAGTTGTAGGCTAACATCGAAACTATTTTCAAATCTGGTCGGTTTAGCCAATCGAACATGTCTATAAATAAAACGTTGGCAAAAGTAGTTTATTGTAATGGTATTTCAGGGAATGGTAAAGAGGAGTCGGGAAGGGTAAAAAAGGTAGGGTAGGATAATGTAGGTAAGCTAGAATAGGGTAGGGTAGTGTTATACGTGGGGAACGGGCCGGTCCGGGTCTAACACCTGACGAAAATTTTAGTTACGGCCGAGCCTGAAAATCAAGGCTTTGCCCAAAAAGCCCGGCCAGTTTGCAAGTTTAAAAATTTTGAATTGGCCGGGCTCAAAAAATGGGCCCGGTCGGTTCTCTATTTCTAGGTAGAATAGGGTAGAAACAAGGGCTTGCTGTAAATAGAGGGTAGGGTAGGGTAGAGTAGGGTAGTATAAGGTAGGGTAAAGTAGAATAGGTTAAGGTAGGGTATGGTACATTCCCTTACACAAATCTTTTGTTTCCAAAAAGTTATGATTGTATTGTTCCGTTATAAGTTCAAAATACCCTAATTGATCTATCTCTTCTGTAGTATAATCGTTGAGCACAAGAGCTTTTTTGAAGCTGTTATTAAATGGTACTGGCCCGACCCCATAATGCAGGCTTTCTTCCCAATGGTTACAATCAAAGCCGCCACCATACTGCGTAGGTAACACTTTAGTATAGTCATCAGATAGTACTGGGACATCAGCCAACAGTTGTGTTATTAGTCGGTTACGAAACACTGGGTTTAGGTAAACATTGATGTTTAGTTCTGTAAAGAGTCAGTTATATACAACAATATTAAACGGCCTACCCTACCCTACCTTACGCTACCCTACCCTATGGGAGATGATACTCTGAGACTTCTAGCATATGCAGATGATAGTAGCTAAAGAAGTTGACGAATTGGGTGTGATGGTCGAGAGAAGATTGGTCTAGAGCTTAATGTTGATAAATGCCAATGGCTAGGCTCTGAAAATGATAAAACCTTGAGGATTGAGGACAGTGAACTTGAAAAAGCAGAAGAAGTAAAATATTTAGGCCATGTATTGACGTATCCTAGGATTCATGGTGTAGAAATTAAAAGAAGAATTATAAATGGACGGCTGGCGTTTCAGAAGGCCAAAGATGTACTCATAAACAAGAAGGTAGACACTAAACTAAAGTCCAAATACTACGACATGTGCATCGAACCAACCTTGCTTTATGGTGCTGAACTAAAGCTGATAAGATTATACTCAGCAGATGCCAGAAGAAGATGGAAAGAATGATGGTCGGAGTGAAACTGGGACAAGGAATCAGAAGTAAAAGAATCAGAAAATGGACAGGCTTAAGGGAGGTAGTGGTCAAAGCCGTAGCGAAGAAATGGGCATTTGCCAGAAAGCTGAGGTACCGTGGATGATAACACCTGGGAGAAAAAGGTTTTAAGATGGACCCCCGACAGTAGAAGACCAGTAGGAAGACCGAGAACAAGATGGGATGACGAACTTCGAAAATGGATAGGTATAAGCTGGATGGATCCTGATTAGATGAGATGGAACGAGGCCCTAAGTGACTACACCGTTGACATCAATGATAATTGTCATGTATGAATTTCTAAAATTTGTTAATTTTATGTGTACTTCATTATTGATTGTAGGTTGATATAGTAAATAAATAAATAAATAAAATTAGACATGGCTTAGTCTAAATTTTTTTACGCGCAAAGGGGCCGCCTTGATTTTGAGGCTTGATCTAAATTTGGCTCCTACTGTCTACCCTATCTTTCTACCCTATTTTAGCGTTAGTCCAACATACAGTAACTCTAGTTTACTTAAAACCAACTACCCTACCTACTCTGGCTAACTACCCTACTTACTCTGACATAGATAGATGGCTTTGATTATGCTTCTTGGATCTGTAAAGGTTGCTGAATAAGTGTCCAACAATATACGTCTTTCTCCATCTTTGCCACATACTGAAATTAAGAATTTTATATTATGTTTTAAATTTAGGCCCTTAAGCTATACAATTTGAAACTTAGGCCTTAACCTATTAAATTTTAGATTTAGCCCATCAATCCTACGCAGGTAAGCTACTTACAATACAAATGATTTAACCACACTAGCATAGTAGTAGCATTAGATTTATATGAGCGACATTCTTTCTGTATTCGGCCGCTTTCTGTGCCATCTTGATGTATTATACCATTAACAATGTAACGTGATCCGGTTGCAAAAATTTGGTACATCATTTCATCGAATTCACTGTGAAAGACTCGGTTTGAACATAACTAAAATAGGAATGTTATCTTTTTAGCTTTTGTAATTGAAGTTATACAACTTAGACATGAGAAGCGTCGAAATTTTGCTCAAGGCAGGCCCGGGTCGGGCCGGGCCGGCCCATTTCTCATGTCTATGCAACTTCATAAATATAGTTAGTGTATGTAAGTAAGATATAGTATAATAGCAAGGCTAGGAGAGACTAAGGCTAAAATGAAGTTAGGTGGGTATGGTAGGGTAGGGTATAGGGTAGGGTAGGGTAGGGTAGGTTGGGGTAGGGTAGGGTAGTTATAACACAAAACTCTTACCAAGAAAGCCAAAACTTTAGTATTAAGTTGGATTGGTCGAAATTGGTCAAGTTTGCCCAGAAAATAGTACTTAAAGGCATCTAATACGGTGTCGTTTAGTTTGTTGGCCATGTTTATACAAATCGATTATCAAGCGAAGAATAACAAAAGCTTGCAACACACTATAACAAAGCTTTCGTAATATCTATTTTTTGATTTTTCTAGCAAGAGGTTACATTGAAAGGGATTGCCAATTCTTATCGGGTGCTTGTTTGCGTTTCAAGACGTCATTGATGGAATGGCGTTTAGTTTATACAAACTTCAAATAGACATGAAAGAAAGAGAGAGAACATTAAGGTAGAGCAAAACAATGTAGTGTAGAGTAGAGCACAATAGGGTCTGTAGAGCAGGTTAGACAAGAATAGAGTAGAGTCGGGCAAATTAAGGCTGTGTACGGTAGGACATAGTAGACAAACATAGAGTAGGAAAAGACTGAGTAGAGCTGTGTACGGTAAGGCAGAGTAGACATGAATAGGGTGGGGTAGGACAGAATAAGGATGCGTACGGTAGGACAGAGTAGACAAGAATAAGGTAGAATAGAGTTAGATAGGGTAGGGTAAGGTAAGTTTAGACATCAAAAACGGGCCAGGCCCATTTTTAAGCCAGGTTCGATCTAAATATTGTTCTCGGCGGGCGGAGATAAACGTTAATTTATTATATGTTTTAGAGTAACCTTGCATTTTGTGGATAATACATTTACAAGGCGAAACTAAATGTTGGACCCCTGGAGTTCGATAGTAATCAATTAAATCAAGAGCACGTCCAGAAGCGGGTTCAAACAGTCAAATTGAAGGATTTGATTTTTTAGACGATAAACTGCGTGTAACGTCGCCAATTTGTGAACAAGTTGTTAAAACAGACGAAAGGTTGATTGTAAGTGGCACATTATTAATTATTACTATTAAAAAATGTAAAAGTTATATTGATTTTTAATAATTATTGATCGTAGGACGAAGTGAACGAGATCAAGGCAATAAAGCTAAGGAACGTTATTCCTGAAGAGTTTTGTAAGGACAACAATGATCGATTCCCAATTTTGTATCAAGTGGCCAAAAAGGTGATGTGTATTCCACCATCTTCTGTTCCTTCCGAACGTTTCTTCAGTCATGCGACGATGTTATTCAACGACAAGCTGCGTAATAGGCTGACGGATGAGCGTGCAGAACAAATATTACTGTTGAGATGTGAACTCAATCGAAGGAACAAAGAATTGAATGATTCTAGTTCAGATGACGAAACTGATGGGACTTAACATTGTTTTTTATATAGTTATATTTTGTTTTTATTAATAATAATAGTTGGAATATGTTTAAGATTTGTTTCATAATAGTTTGTACTACTAGTATATTTAAAATAACGTTTATTTTATTGATATTAGCAAAAAACCAGTATAATTTTTAAAAATTCTCAAATTTCCCGTTCCCGTCCCGCACGGGGGGGAATTTTTTGTCCCCGTTCCCAAAAAAAAAATTGCGGGGATGACGGAGACTTTGAAGGCCCAGCCCTAGTCTTCAATCTTGCCTTGACCCAAAATTTAGGGCGGTCCGGCCCATTTACACGTAAAAAATCGACTGGTTCGGCCCATTCTTTATGTTTACCGGTCCGGCCCAAACTTTTTTGCGTCCAAAAGAACAGGGCTTTTTGGGCTAGGACTTGATTTTCAAGCCCGGCCCAAACTTTGGTCTAGGCCAACTTGTCTTGATGGTAAGCCCGGGTTAGTCCGGTTTGCTATTAGTCTAGGGCCAGCCCGGCCCGACGCTAAGTCCGGGTTAATCCGGCCTGCTGGTAGTCCAGGGCCAGCCCACTCCGATGGTAGTCCCAGACCAGCCTTGACCCGTTATTCATGTCTAGTTAGGGTAGGATGGAGTCGAAAAACTTTAAGACCAGTCCAAACTGTTTGGGCTTCGTACAAACTGATGTTTCAAAGCATTATCAAACCAATTTTAATGGCTTTTTCCCTTTCTTTAGTAATGGTAACAGTCGCAACGGGGAGCGCGTGTTTCGGCCGCGGCGATCGGTACAAGGTCAACGTTTAAACAAAACTCCGAGACAACAGTTTGGTTTCGAAAAATGAGCAATGTTTATAAACTTATGGCGCGCGTTTAGGGGTTTGTATTTTAAGTTGGGCCATTTTTTTAAGTTGCTTTACTTTTTTGTTGTTTAGGCTTCTTTTATATATTTTTAGGCTAAATTAATGTGTTTTTTGGCTTGCTTCAAGTGTTTTTTAGGCTTAATTTGTGTTTAGAGTAAAGTAATATAAGATAACATGCTAAAGAAGCCTAACCTAACATACGTTACATTTAAAAACAAAGTTCATAAAGAATTCAAGATAACTTTAAAATAAGGTACAGTTAGGCCTAGAGCAAGCATAAAGTAGAAGTATAGTTAGGCTAATGCATAAGGATACAACAAAGTAAGGCTAGGGTAAGGTATATAAAGCTAAAGTAATTTTAACGTTTAGGCTTAACTTAAGCTTAAGCCTAATTTAAAGTCTATTTGCAAGTTTAAGGTTGTACGCCAAGCCTAAGCTCAAGCATAAACCTTGGTCTGAATGCCAGCTTACGGCAAAGTCTAAGCTTAAAACTAAACCGCAGTTTAATTTTAAGCCTAAAACTTAGCCGTAAATTAGAACCTAAGCCTATGTCTTACTAAGCCTGAACCTAAGCCTAAGAAAAATTTTTAAGCTAGGCTTACACTCATGCTCTAGCCTAAGCTTTAACTTAACCCTAAGCTAAAACATAAGCTTAAGCCTAAGACTAAGCGTGAGGCTAATCTCAAATTTAAGTCTAAGCCCAAGCCTAAGTCTAAACTCAAGCCATAGGCTAAGCCTATAATTAAGCCTAAGCCAAGACGTAAGCCATAGCTTAAGACTAAGCCCGTCCAGGCTCAGACCAAAACTAAGTCTAAGCCTAAACGTAAGCTATTGCCTAAGTCTAAATTAAGCCTAAACTCAAGCTATAACCTAAGCCTAAGTTAAGCCTAAACTCAAGCTATAACCTAAGCCTAACTTAAGCCTAAGACAAAGCCTAAAGCTAATCCCGATGCTAAGACCAGGACTAAGCATAAACCATAGTCTAAGCATAAGCCCAACTCATTTTTTACCACTTAATCCAAAATCGACCAAATGCAAATTCGAAGCTTTTATCGGTGTGTTTATGGCTGAAAAACCTTGAGGATTTTGTGACTCATTTTGAAAAAAAAGTGGAGGGGTGGAATTGTTTTCTGTATAAATTATCGCGATTTCTTCACATGGCCATTCCGACGGTGACCTCGACCTGCTCGGCCTAACCGCCGCGTCCTCAGAGAAGGTCGTCCGCTGGGCCCAAATATGGGCGCATTTTGGTGGGCGATCGGGCTTTTGGTGGTCGAAAAATCGAATTTATGTATAGCGGTAGGGTTTTATGGGAATTTTTTATTTTTTGGGGAGGGGGGTGAAGGTGGGGTAGAAAGGGGGAGTGGGAAGGGGAGGGAGAGTGAAAGTGGGGAAGGGGGCGGGAAGTAAAGGGGGTAGGGAAGAGGAGTGAAAAAAAGAGGGGGGTGGCGTATTTTTTGGAGTTTACTCTTCTGTACTGTACTCTACCTTACCCTACTGCACGGCACCCTATCCTACCCTACCATACCCCGCTCTACCCTATTGTAATCTACCATACCCTACTTTACGCTACTTTAGCTTACCTTTCTGCACCCTACCCTTCAATTTCCTACTCTACAGAAGCCCATTTTATCCTCTCTACCCTATCCCGTTCTATCTCCCCCCCCTCTATCCTATCTATTCTACCTTATTCTACTCTGTTTTGCCCTACCTTATCATACCTTTCGTTACAGTACTCCTTTTAATTCAAAATTTCAATGTTTCATTAGGCCCTACCCTATTGCACTTTGTCAGCCCAAACCCGGCGCACTTTTTCCTCCTCCCTCTCCTCTCCCCCCCTCATCTCCCCTTAAACCGCGTAGTTCTTTTCGAATGTTCGATAAGGCGCAGATGACCTAGCCGCGATCGCCCATACAAGGTACGAAGCCTCAGCCCTTCTACCGTCTCCTCGTTGCCATCAGCCCGCCACATTCGTGTTTTTTCGGTCGGCCGGAGCGCGACGGCCGCTCCCCTCCCTCCATTCCACAGCCCGATTCGGGCGGGGGGAAGGAGGTGCGTTTTCATTCCCCAAATCAAGGTATTTTTGCCTCGCATTATAATGTTTTTGCTCCGTTTTTTTTCGCGACGACAACGCGGCCCATAAAATTTGCGAGGATTTATTTGGCTGTCCGGGGTGGATGTGAAGATTTTGCGTTTGAAAACCAAACTTTTGGGTTGCTTTTTTTGATTAAAGATGTTATTTGGGGTAGAATTTAAAAATATTTTTTTGATATGTTGTTTAATGGCTCATTACTTTTTGAACAATTTAAGACAACTGGCTTTTGGGCCGAGCTTGAATAGGCTCAAAAAGCTGGACTTGGTAGGGTACAGGGCCGGGCGCGAAGGGTGGGTGTACCCTCTAGAAAAAAAAATCGGAAAAAGTTGAAAGTGGTGAATCTTTGGAAAAAACTGTTTGCTGTGCCGATTTTTTCGACCCCCCTAGACGAAAAGTGACCCCCCTGGTAGGTTAATATATTTTTTTATCTCACCCTATCCTACCCTACTTTAAACTACCCTACTCTACTCTAATCTATTAGGCCGTTCACTTAGTTGTACGCCTCCTTTCTAAGCTAATTTTCGTTGTTACGGGGCGCAAAATTAAGTAAACGACCTAGTACCTTACTTTAACTTTTTTTTGCTTTATGCTGCCCTTTGTTGCACTACCATACTTTTTGTTGCTCTACCCTATCCTGCTTTACCCTATCCCATCTTTTGCTGTCCTGCCTTAGCCCGCTTTACCCAGCCCTATCTTACTCTATTCCGTTCTGCCTTGCGCTACCTTTATGTCCTACTTCTTAAGCTTTTTGAAAGTTTTTTTTTTAAATTTTATTAATATTTTTTGAAAATATCGATCAGAATACTCTTCATTACAATAATACTGCCTTATACCCAAGCCAAACCACACCACCTTATTGTCTCTCCCCAAGCTCTATTCTTTTTACACAAACTCTCAACCCTTCTCTACATTTACCCACTTGAATCACCCCCATTTACGGTGGCATTCGTGATCTTTTTGTGTGTGTGCGGCGGCCGGCGACGCGACCAAATCGAAATCCCTAACGCACCCCCTACTTTTCGTCTTTCTCGCTCCTTGTTTGGTGGTGGGAGGCTGGTTAGAGGGGCGGAATGTGAAAAGGGCTTGATCGTCGCGCGCTCAAGACAGTCCATGTTCTGGCACTTGGGAAGGGGATCTGGGGATTTGTAAAAGGTGTGGGTTTAGCTAATAGTACTAATGAGAGGGTATGGGTTTTGGTAGTGGTACTATTAGAAAGGTATGGGCTTTGCTGGTGGTACTATTGTAATGGTATGGCTTTTGCGAATAGTATGAAGAGGTTAGGACAAGTATTGCAAGAGCAGGGTAGAATTTTTAAGGGCAGGGTTGAATTTTTCAGAGCAAAATACAATTTTTGAAAGCAAAGTAAGGTAGGGTAATGTAGGGTAGGGTAGGGTAGTGTATTTTAAGGTATGTTTTGGTATTTTTTTTTGTTTCTACTGGGGGGGTTCAAAATTAAAAAAAAATTTTTGAGGTGCATCCTACCATTAAGCTTAAATATATCTGTTCTTTAACTTTACGCGAGTTTAGTATCCCTAACCAACTCCATTTCCTAATTAAAACCGGAGTTGTATCAAGCGAAAATCAAATGGGGAGAATGCGCGCGAGAACGTGATGGAATGACTATATACGTTGTCGGCGACATTGCGCGGCCGACTCACCCCCCTCCATTGCAAATTACCGCGCACCGGCCCTTCCATTTTTTTTTTATTCGTTCATCGCGCGTTCTTCTTTCACCAAACAAGGATTTTGTCAAGACGACGCAGAAGCGAATCCTCCATCTTCCCCCCTCCATTCTTCCATACCCTTATAGTGTTTTTGCTGCTGCGTCGCATCCCTCATCCGCCCCAAGAGTTGTTGTTGATGATGATGATCGGTTGGCGGCCCGTTTTTGTTCGTCTTGTTTTCGAGCTGCCCTCGGGCTACGGTCGCGTCTCAGGGTTTACGATGCGGATTTCTGGGTTGGGGGTGTCGGAGTGTACGGTTGTGTGGGATGATCAAGGTCTTAGCTATGATTTGGGCTAGATTTGTTAGTTGAGATTTGGGGCAGATTCGTTGGGTTTATTACAAGATTATTTATTGTTAACCTTATATATTAAAATATTTATCGCTTTATCATGCGGGCCGAATAAAAGTAAAAATTTTAATAATTTTAACAAGTACTTAAAATCCACAATTACAGAACCTAAAAAAATGGCATCAGAAGACCCATACGCCGCTTCATTGACCAAATTTGGCAACCAAAGTTTGATCTGGAGCCCTCCAGACGATCCAGAACGAGTCTACACTTTTATTCGAAAACAGACCCGCTTCAACAAAACGGATCAGAAAAACTACCACTACTACGTGTGTCAAGATTGTCGGCTGATTCGAGACAAACAAGTGAAAGAAAAAACTGATATGGCACAATGGAGCGCACCGAGAATTACTATGACGGACAATATGGTCATGATCAAGAGTCCAATGGAAACATTGGAAGGACATCGATGTGCGAGAAAGACGAGGGATAGTGTTAAGGAATGCAAAAAGTAAGCTAAACTTCATTTTTAAAATTTAAATTTGGAAAAAATTGGTTTTATGTTTTCAAATTCCACAAAAGACATTTTCAAAAATTTTGTCAAAAGGTGATGAACGTTGTTGTTGCTGAACATAATGCGACGCAAATTCCTCGTTGATTCATTATTGCTTTTGTCTTTTCAGGCTTGACATCTACGACGAGCGGGCTTCGTTGGGCAAGAGTTCGGGTGGATCGACGCCTTCAAGCAACCCCTCACCACCGCCTTTTGCGTCGAGTCCCAGCTTCTTCCACGCCTCCTCATCACCATCGTTGGTGAATGTGGACTGGAGTGGGTTGGCTTCGTTTTATGCTCAAAATGGCAAAAGTTCCGGTCCTTCAAATGGGTCTACCTCAACGTTAACTTCATCAGCTGAAACGTTGTCATCGTCGGTAAAGTCGGAGTACTCCAGCTCAACGACCTCAAACTTAAACTCTGCCCAATCAACCAGTTCTTCCGGTTCATCATTAGCTACTCCAGTTGCATCACCCTCCTCTACTCCATTGAACTCTTCAAATACTCCTACAGGTTCGGTACCACCCTCATCCAAAAAAGCGACGAAACGAAGCCTAGACCAATGGAGTGAAGTGTTGCTGAAAAAGAAGTGTGAAGAAGAGCCGCTGCGAGTACAGTACCCAACATACGACGCGTTAATGGGCTTCACGATTCAGCTTTTGAAAGAAAAGCATGAGCGTGAACTTAACGAGAGGCCAAAGAAGACGGAGAAGAAGAATAAAGCAACCTTAGAGCAAAAGAAAACGGCCGAAAAAATGAGCAACATGAGCATGGACCAGCTGACCCAGCTTCTACCAGTTATTAAACTTCTTATGGCTAACAATCGTATCAAAACCGAGCAAGATGTTAACATCTAAATAGATACATATGAACATTAAATTAATTTGAAAAATTCTTATTATCTTCACTTTGGTTTACTGTATCATTCGTTTACTATATTAATCGTATGTCTACAAAACTTTTACTATATTATCAGTAACTCTAAACACTATCGTACACATCACTTAAAAGTAATATACCTTGCCTTAAAATTTTATCGTGAACCTCGGACCATATCTTTTACAGCCTTTTATATCAACTAGTTTTCTAGCCTTATTAGATGTCAAGCCTTTTTTATTCTCCAAGCGGGTCGAACATTATGTGTAATTTTTGTTCTCAGTCATTTTGTGTCCAAAAATATTTTTTGGCTTCACTTATCGTTATATGTACATTTTGAATTACTCATACAATAAACTATGCTATTAACAAAATTTACTATCATTAGGTTGAACCAAAAGTAGTGGGACACTTTTACCTTGAAAAATAAATACAAAATGTCCCGCTACTTTTGGTTCAACCTTAAATAACAATTGAAAGAAAGGTTATTCTGTTATTACCATCGATATAAAATATGAAACAAAAAGGAAATTGTCTAACTCGTTCTGCTCAGAATCAGCCTAATATTTTTATATGCATTTCTAGTACCACCAATAGTATTCGTAAAAAATTTTAGCTCACGCTTTTGAATTTTAAATTTGAAATATTAAGATATTCCGCCAACTTGGCAAATTTGGCATTGTGTTTCAAGCGCTTTCTAGACTTTCCAGACAAGCTACGCTTACAAATTTAAAAATTTAGTTTTATTCAAATTTTTTCTACTAGTATATTGAAGAAAAATGGTGAAAAGTCAAAAAGTGACAGTTATAAGCTTGAAACACTATGCCAATTTCGCGGGAAATTCAAAACGTAATTTTTTGGTTTTTATTTTCTTGAGTTCGCCTAAAGCGCAATTTTAATAAAATTTCTCACTAGAAATCCCAAAACATTCGAACTAAGCTCGATTTGGCTAGTTATCCTGGCTCGGCCGATAACTATTAATCCTGGCTCGGCCAGTAACTATTAGGTGCCGACATAAATTGGTCCAGTCCTGCCCGCAAAAAAAATTTTGTTAGGTCCGTCCGGTTCGCAAAAATTTTTGTTAGATTCGTCGAGTGCGGCAAAACACTGGTTTTAACGCATTCTCAGTTAGCCTTTCGGCAATAGTAGTGCCGAGAGCTCGCACTCTCTTTAAATAGTTTGTGTCTGAAAAAAGGCCGGCATTATTCCTCTAATGCGAAATTTTTCGAATAGAATTGCATCGATTTTTTTACATTTTTTTCTTGCCAATCTAATAACACCCATTTAATAATGGCAACGAAAGTAAAATATAACTAACATGTGACTTTCTTTATTATTTTTTATATAAATTTACCATTGTTTATTGGCCATATATAGAGAGTGCGCTAAAAGTTCTGTTACAAAACTATCACTGAAAACTTTTTGAAGCGTTTGCGCTTGTGCCAAGCCGCAAAGGTGGGACACTTCGAAACCGATTGACTATGTTATAACTAGTACTATATGTTACTATTGTTAGTTGTTGTTTTAGTTATATTTTTAGTTAAAATAAATATTTAATTAAAAAACCGTGTAACAGAACTTTTGGCGCACCCTACTGGATTAGGTCTAATAAAATGAAGTTGCGTTTGTCTTTCTCGGCTTAAGGTCTGGCCCTTCACAGGACCTTTTATGAAGCAGATTTGTTATACATTATACATAAAGTTATATGTTTTAAATGCACTGTCTAATATTGACCATAAATTTAATAATTGTTTTAAAAAAATTGTTTATTATAGGTTGAACCTAAAGTAACGGGACACTTTTCAGTTGAAAAATAAATGAAAGATGTCCCGCTACTTTTGATTCAAAATAATTTTTAAAAATTCGTTATAGAGATGTTTGTTATACACGAGTTCGTTATACATGTTGCCTTACCCTGATTAAAAGACGGCACTTCTTCGTTCGCTAGTCAAAGGAATTTGGATATTTTAATACTTATTTGTTTTTAACTAGATTATTTATGTTTTAGCAGAATGAACAAGTTATACACCAATTTAACTCCATTGGTAAATTTTTTTTTATTAATATGAGGTGAAACATTTTTTTTTTATTTTTGCATAACCTATAATAATATTTTAATGTTTGTTTTAATAGTTTGATGTAGAATATTCAATTTTTTATGTTTTTTACTTGTTAATATAGATTTAAAATCAAAAAAATTATTTTTTTTAGAATTGGTTGATAATTGTAAAAAACCTTGCCTACGTTGAAGACATATGTTCTCTGGCTATGATGAATAAATACATGTACCAAATGGTTGGTAAAGACTTCAAAAAAGAATGCTATGAAAATGTCATCTACAGACTGAAACGAGAAACATGGGCTTATGCTTTTCAACAGTTAGTACTTTTATCATCATTTATATATACACGGGAACGGGCCGGCCCGGTCTTGACTCAATTTTAGGTCGGGCCGGGCCTGAAAATAAAGGCCCAGTCCGAAGAACCCGGCACGCGGCCCGGCTTCTAAATTGGATCCGGTCCGTTCCTCATGTATAATTCTGGTCTTGAGGAATGAGAAGCGTGGGCATGGCCGTCATCAGGGCCGGGCTTGCACTTTTGGTCCAGGGGTGAGCGTCGAACAAATCAGCCCAGGTCTACCCTTGCCGATTTTTTCAATTTTTTTCCGAAAATCCACAGGAGGACCACGTTCAACTGTTTTGAAGAGTTTTTTCAATGGGGAGGGTACCAGCCCTGGCTTTCATATAGTAAATACAACACTTTCAGAGCACCACACCGGGTATTCAAGTCCCAAAACATTCCAGAAGACAACTCACCTTCAGACATAAGTTGTTGCCCATTTACAGGAACAATAGTCATTTTTGTACCGTTGTTTCATGTCATTCTGACACATATTGACTTTGCACAAGAGAAGTTTGAGTTCCTCGATTTTTCCAAGTATCGGGATATTCAAAAGCTTCAGCTGATCAACCGGAGCAAGCAGTTACTACTGTACACGGATAAGACTGTAGTTCTTTATGATATGATGACATACGAAACAATACGAGTATATATTCCACTTCCTCAAGAACATTACAACTACGGCACGTTGTGGCTTCATGGCAAACTGATAGACTATCATAATCAAGTCGACTTTGATGTGAATTGTAAGAACTACAGAAAACCAATTAGGATCGGTAATCCATACGACTACCGAAGATACATGGGCTATGCCAATGAGAAAGACGAGTTTGTAGTTATGGACGTTCACACTGGCATACCGACAGAGCTTTTTAAACTTCGCGACGACACTAAAGGGTTTTTTATTCTGGATTCTATTGGTTATGTTGTACATTGTGGTAGGTTTGTTCACAGTTGTCTTTAGTTACAGTGTTAGCCTTAGCACTAGCTCTAGCTCTGGCTCTAGCTCTAGCTCTAGCTCTAGCTCTAGCTCTAGCTCCAGCTCTAGCTCTAGCTCTAGCTTTAGCTCTAGCTCTAGCTCTAGGCCCTAGCAACAGGCCTAGTAATAGGCCTAGCCCCAGCACTAGCCCTAGCTCTAACCTTTAAGGATAACTATAGCCCCTATGGCTAGACCTAAAACTTAACATAACACTAGCCCTATCCCTAATAACGATTTTTTTTCAGGAAAAAATTTCGAAATTTACAGTCTGGAAACGTACGACAAGGTATTCGAATATAGCGACAACGACATTCACAAACATATAAAGTTCCTTAGTCAAGATCTGGTAGACTATTTGAACAATAAACGAGTAGGTTTTTGCTTATCATTCTGCAACATACTGTAACAATGGTCTTTTAGAAAGAGAAGTAAAGCTTTCTTCAGTGATATGCCAGCTATTATCTATACTATGCAAAAAAATATCAAGGTAATTATAATATATTATTATTTTCAGTTCCTGACCTACAACAATGTCAAAAATATATGGGTATGGGCAAACAAAAAGGAAAAAAATTCTGAAGAAACAGATTATCCTTTGATAAAACACTTCTTCAAGCCATTTCCATTGATGAGGTTGTACGATTATGGCGATGAAGTAGTCTATCTACTCAATTTGTACGGTAAGTTTACCCTGCCCTACCTTACCCTACCCTACCCTACCCTACCCTACCCTACCCTATCAAATCCTACCTTGCCCTGTTTTACTAGGCATTACCTTACCATGCCCTACTCTACCTTGCTTCCAACTTTACCCTACCTTAACTTACAATAACCCTACCCTATACTGCTTCTCCCTCTTCCTCCTCTGTCCCACCATTCCCTACTTTGCCATGCCTTACTCTGCCCTACTCTACCTTGCTTTATCCTCCTCTATCCTACCCTATCGCACTTTACCCTCTCTTATTCTACCTTTCCCTGTTTTCCTGTATCTTATCCTTTCCTCCTCTATCCTACCCTGTCCCCCTTTACCATACCCTCAGTTCTTCTAGCTTGCCTTGGTCTCCTCTACTTTGCTCCGTCATTCTTTACCCTACCCTGTTCTCCTTTACCTTGCCCTGTCCTCTTCTGTCTTACCTTTTCCTCTACCCTACCCTACCCTACTAATCAACACCCACATAACCAGCTCCATTACAGATACCAAAGTCCTGAAGCCATTCAGAATACAGCCCGAACCTGACGATCCATATGTTAAAGGATTCCGTTCGTTAGAAGTATTTATTGGGATCTGCATGATGGTCGATGTAAACGACCTAGAGAACGTCGAGCCAGAAGAACCGGTCGAGAGCAAAGCCAAAAAACTATTTTTGGCACGTGTGCAATGGCTAGAAGACAGTCACTTTAGCAGGCAGCGCGAAGGCCGTAGACCTTACTGGGCAATTCGGCATCGCACGCCTCCATTGCCAAATCCAGAACCCCCACCACCACCACCCCCGCCTCAAGATCAGGAGAGGCGCATACCATTTAGGGAATTAAAAGGGCCGTTGCACCGATGAGTGACTATATATAGCTATACCTCAATAAATAAACTTGTTTCGATAGATTGGACTTGGCTTTGCTCAATTTCGAAATTTTAGGTAACAAAGACATCTTTTTTGGGATTTTAGGTAACAAAATGGCATTTTTTGAAAATTTTAGGTAACAAAATGACACTTTTAAAAATTTTAGGTAACAAAGGCATCTTTTGCAAAATTTTAGGCAACAAAAAGCATTTTTTTTACTTTTAGGATACAAAAAATTGTTTTTTCGAAATTTTACGTAACAAAATGCCAGCTTTGAAAGTTTAGATAACAAAATATTGTTTTTTTGAAATTTTAAAATAAAAAATGGCATCTTTGGAAGTTTAGGTAAGAAAATGGTATTTTTTGAATTTAGGTAACAAAAAATCTTTTTTTTTTTTATTTTAGGTAACAAAATGGAATTTTTTATTATTTTAGGTAACAAAATATTGTTTCTTTTTAATTTTAAGTAACAAAAAATAATTTTTTCAAATTTAGGTAACAAAGTCATATTTTTTAAGAGTTTACGTAACAAAACAGCAATTTTGGGAAATTTTAGGTATCATGGCCATTTTTTAGAATTTTAGGTAACAAAAAATCATTTTTTGGCAATTCTGCCATGGTTTGTGATACACTTCTGGCTTCAAATCTGAACCATTATTTGACAAATCAAGCACCATTTTGGCCTTTAAAGGGCCGCCGAAACATAGAAAGTTTTTTTATATTAGTTACAGCACAAAATTTTATTTAGTTTGACTAGTATTTGATAATTTTACATGTTCTATTCAACATTTTAAATATTTATTTTATTTTTAAAATCAATAGTTGAGACACGACGATTTCCGATTTTGAGTTAACGAAATGCCACAACCATTTTATTTCTTTTTTCTTTCATTTTGGCATGACGTGAAACGTCTTTTTTGCAAATTTTAAGTAAAACAATGGCATTTTTTGAAATTTTTAGGTAATAAAGTGATTTTTTTGGATTTTAGGTAACAAAAAATCGTAATTTTAAATTTTAGTTAACAAAATGGCTTTTTTGGAATTTTAGGTAACAAAAATCATTTTTTTGAAAATTTTAAACAACAAAGAAATCTTTTTTAGGCTTTTGGGTTACAAAGTATTTTTGTCAAAAATTTTAGGTAACAATTTATTTCTTTTTTGAAGTTTTAGGCAATGAAGACATCTTTTTTTAGCATTTTATAATATGATAGTTTAATATAGCTTAGGTATACCTATAGATAACAAAAAATCATTTTTTTGAAATTTAAGTAACAAAATGGCATTTTTGCAAAAATTTAGGTAATAAATTCATTTTTTTTTTTGAGAATTTGGGTAACAAAGACGTCTTTTTTAGAATTTAAGTAACAAAAAAGCCTTTTTTGGAAAATTTTAGGTAATAAAAAACTTTTTTTGAAATTTTAAGTAACAAAAATTGAAGCAAATAACTGCTTTGTTTGTCATAAAAACTTTGTTATAGAGATGTTTGTTATACACGAGTTCGTTATACATGTTGCCTTACCCTGATTAAAAGACGGCACTTCTTCGTTCGCTAGCCAAGAGAATAATAGGAAAGAGAAAGCACTGACCCCTAAATGTTTAGAAAGAGAGACAATATAAAGAAGGGATTTGGATATTTATTTTTTTAACTAGTCGATTATTTATTTGTTAAAAAATGCACAAGATATACGATAAGTTACCTCCAGGGGTAAGTTGATACAGTTTAAAGTTTGATTTAAAGTATTGTCCCACCTACCTTACCTTGCTCTATTCTATTAGATGCCGACATAAAGAACCCGCCATACTTTGCCTGTAATCTCCTGTAAAAAAGCGGGTTCTTTATGTCGGCACCTAATAGCTTAATTTAATTTTTTACTGTGATATATTTTGATTGTAAGATTACCTGGAATACCCTAACTTATCGTATTTTACCTTACCCTGTCCTCAGGGCCGGGCAGGGACTTTTGGTCTGGGGGCGGGGGTTGAAAAAATCCACAGGGAGGACCAAGTTAAACTTTTTTTTGAAAATTTTTTTCTGAGGGTGTGGGTCCCCCCCCCCTTACCCTACCCTGTCTTACCCTACCCCACTTTACCCTGTCCTTCCTTACCCTACTCTGCCCTTTAATAATCAAATTTGTAATTTCAGAGATGGCCAATAATTGTAAAAAACCTCGCGTATGTTGAAGATATATGTTCTCTGGCCATGGTAAATAAATACATGTACCAAATGGTCGGTAAAGACTTCAAAAAAGAATGCTATGAGAATGCCATCTTCAGACTGGAACTGGAAACATGGGCTTATGCTTTCAAACAGTTAGTGCTTTTATCATTATTTACTGTACCAACGGGTGATTCTGGGGCGGAGAGAAGAGGAGGGGTGGGTAGAGTTGTCATGTATCCGAAATGGGTGATTTTGGTCCGAAGGGAAGAGGAGGGGAGAGAAAAGGAAGGGAGGTGGAGGGCACAAAAGGATAGGTGTACCAATTTTATTTTTTACTTTGAAGTTCTCAAGCTGTACCATTTACTCCTGCTTTATCAAGCCCTACCATAGTTCTACTTTAGCCCTACTTCTAGCCATACGTTACCCCTAGCCTTCCGTACTCTTGCCCCATCAAGCCCTACCACAGTTTTATTTTACCCCTGCCTCTTAGCCCTACGTTATCCAAACCTCTAACCTTAACTAGTCCTACTCTTACCTTATGAAGCCCTGCCATAGCCCCAATTTGGTCCAACCTCCCCTTACCCTATCTGTTTCCTTGCTTACTCGTACCAACCTTAGGCATACTGTACTGTCTATCTTTTCCATCAACTATAACCAAAACCTAGCTTCCATATTAACATCTTAAGATACAGGTGTTAATATGGAAGCTAGTGGTATCCTTAGCCTTATCTCTAGCTCTACCTAATCTTACTCTTGCCCCGTCAAGCTCTGCCATAGCCCTACCGAACCCTACTCCTGCCCTGTCGAGCTCTACCATAGCCCTACCTAGCCCTAACCCTGCCCTGTCAAGTTCTATTATAGCCCTACCCAGTGTTTTGCCGGACCCGTCCGGTCCGGACCGGTCCGGAAAAAAAATTTTTTTTTATTTTAATAAAACTGTTTTAAAAATTGCAAATAAAACACATTTTTAAGAGTTTTTAAACGTAAAGAAAGCAGTTTTAGCGCTCCTGGCTCTTTTTAAAAATAAAAAAAAAATTTTCCGGACCGGACCGGACCTGGCCTTTTTGGTCCGGACCGGACCTGAGCGAAAAAAATAGAGCCGGACTGGACCGGACCGAAAATTTTTCGGACCGGACCGAAAAAAATTCTCATCCGGACCGGTCCGGCAAAACACTGGCCCTACCTACCCCTACTCTTTCCCTATCGAACTCTACCATAGCCCTGGCTACCCCTACTCTTGGCCTGTCAAGCTCTACCATAATCTGAAATTTGTCGTAATATAGTAAATACCATACTTTCAGAGTACCCCACCGAGTAATAAAGCCCCAATACATTGGAGACGACCGCTCACCATCGGAGATAAGTTGTTGCCCTTTTACTGGGACAATAGCCATTGCAGTACCGCTGTTTCATGTTATTCTGACACATATTGATTTTACACAGGACAAGTTTGAGTTTCTCGATTTCACCAAGTATGAACAGATTCGAAAAATTCAGCTGATCAACCGAAGCAAACAACTACTACTGTACACAGACATTACGGTCGTTGTTTATGATATGATGACACGCGAAACAGTACAAGTTTATGTTTACCATGCCGAAGAGAGCTACAATTGTGGCACAGTGTTCCAGCAGAACAAACTAATCGACTATCACAATCAGGCCGACTTTGCTGTGAACTGTAAGGACTATAGAGAGCCAATTAGGATCGGTAACCCATACGACTACCGAAGATACATGGGCTATGTTAATAAGAAAGACGAGTTTGTGGTTATGGACGTTCAGACTGGCATACCGAGAGAGCTTTGTCAACTTGATGAGGACAGTGAAGGGTTTTGGATCCTGGATTCTATTGGATATGTTGTACATAGTGGTAGGTTTGTTCACTTTGTCTTTGGCCTCAGCCCTAGCCGCAGTTCACGGCAATGCTTAAACGTTGCCTTGGCACGTTTAAGCATATAATATGAGTCTCATGCTTAGCTTTAGCCCTAGCTTTAGCCCTATCCATAGCCTATGCCCATATCAATTTCCTCGTCCTAGCTCCAACCCCAACCTCAACCCCAGCCCACAACCCTAGTTCGAGCCCCAAGCCCTAATATTGGCCCTAGCTCTAACCTTATTAGCGCGGGCCTTATCCCTAGCCTTAGACCTAAACCCTAAGGCTAACCACAGCCTCTACGGCTAAGCTAGTCCTATTAACGTATAATATTACTTTCAGGAAAAAATTTTGAAATTTATAGTCTGGAAACATACGAAAAGGTATTTGAATATGAATATAGCGACGACGATACTTACGAACCCTTGCAGTTCTTGAGTCAAGACCTGATAGATCATTCAAACCATGAGCGGGTAGGTCTTTGCTTATCAAACTGTAACTATGCTGTTTGATAAAAAATCTTCGCTTATTCATCCAAAAATTTATTTCAATGATAATATACCAGCTACTATTAAATATACAAAAATTTTCAGTTCCTGACCTACAACAATGTCAAAAATATATGGGTATGGGCAAACAAAAAGGAAAAAAATTCAGAAGAAACTGATTATCCTTTGATAAAACACTTCTTCGAGCCATTTCCATTGATGAGGTTGTACGATTATGGCGATGAATTAGTCTATCTGCTTAATTTGAACGGTAAGATCGCTTTATTCTACCTTATCATACTCTATTTTACCCTACCCTACCCTACCCTATCCAACCCTACCCTACCATACCCTACCCTTCGCAACCCTATCTTTTCGTTAAAGTAAGCCTTTGGTTCTACCCTACCCTGTCTTATCCTACGGTTTTTGCCCTACCGGTCTTTGTCATCATCATTATACGGAGTGCCCTAGCCTTTCATTACAGTAGCCCATTAGTCTAGAAATTAAAAATTTTATTAGGGCTTGAACTATTGCACTTTGTCGACGTAAACCCAGTCCACTTTTCCTCCTCTCCTCTTTTCTCTCCCCCCCCCTCTCTCAATTCTGACCCACCCTACACTACCTTGCTTTATCCTCCTCTACCCTACCCTATCGTACTTTACCCTCTCTTCTTCTACCTTTCCCTGTCTTCCTGTATCTTATCCTTTCCTCCTCTATCCTACCCTGTCCTCCTTTACCATGCCCTCTCTTCTTCTACCTTACCTTGTCCTCTACCCTACCCTGCTAACCAACGTTAACATAACCAACCCATTTCAGGTAGTAGCTTCATAAAACTATTCAAACGACAATGCCTGCAACCTCCACTATGTTCTATAGAAAAATTCATTGGAATCGAGTTGATGGTCGACGTAACCAACATAGAAAACATCGAGCCAGAAGAAGCGGTCGAAAAGAAAGCCAGGAACAAATTTATGGCACGGCTGGATGTGATCAAATTCATCCACGATAACATGTTTGACAGGCAGTCGCCCGAACTCCCACAACCACCTCAAAATCGGATCACGCGCCCACCATTTAGGGAAATAAAATTAAAAAGGCCGTTCGTCCGACGATGAGTGATTGTACCTCGACAAATAAACATTTTTAATAATTTGGACTTTTGATTTGCTCAATTTTGAGATTTTAGGTAACATAGACACCTTTTTTACAATTTTAGTTGACAAATTATTCCTTTTTTTAAGTTTAGGTAATAACATGTCTTTTTTTTGAAATTTTAGGTAACAAAATAGTTTTTTTTTTAATTTTAGGTAACAAAGAACCATTTCATAAAATTTTAGGTAACAATTAACTATTTTTTCATTTGAGGTACCAAACTGACTTGCATACATTTTAGGTAAATAATATAAAACGCTATTTTTAGGTAACATTCACCCTTGAATGAAAGTTTATTATTTAAAACATTTTTTTTAGTTATTATTGACTAATTACAAGTTCTTAACAACAATAATTAACAGTTTCTGTAAAAACTATTTATAAAACATAAATAACATGTAAAAAGGCGCTGAACAATTTCCATAATATCACTAGAACGATGAGCATTACTGGATAGTATGACAAGAACCTCAGGTTTATGGTCTCCGGCTGGCGTGGTAAATTTTTGCCATATACTGGTACACCTTTGATTGGGGAGGATGGTTGTAGGGCTAGTGATGCTACTGGGCCTAGGACTTCGTTTTTGGATAATCGCTTTAGGTAGACGACTATGGGATGGCGGGACCATTTCACTGAGACATGGCTTAAGTACTCGTATAGGGGTCGGAATTGCCATTTACTGGGGCTGTGGGCGGCTAGCTGATAACGGTACTTGGTATAGTCGAATTGGGCTTCTCGTCGGAGGACCTGAAAAGGTTTTGGGTAACAAAATTAAATGAAAATAACTGCTTATTAGGGCCAAAAATCAAAAAGTTTTTAAAAATTTAGGTAACAAAAAGTCATTTTCTTGAAATTTTAGGTAACAAAGAAGCCTTTTTTAGTATTTTAGGTAACAAAAAGTCATTTTTTCAAAATTTTAGGTGATAAAATGGCATTTTAAAGCAATTTTAGGTAACAAAATTAAATTTTCTTGCCGTCCAAACGAGCGTACTATAAAATTCTGCCCTGTAACTCAAACTTATTTCACAAAAACCAACCTGATCAATGCCCTTTGGTGTCAAATGGTACATTTGAGTCCATGGATCCGCCACATAATCTGGTACCGTGCTTTTGTAAAAAATCGACCGTTCCAACGTTTTATTGTGGGCCTGATTCATGGCTGGTGTTGTGTTCAGTGTAGTATCCTGTGTTTTTCGCTGTTCTCTATCCTTATTTGGTGGGTATACACAATAAGGATTGGCAAGTTGATCTGATATGGTCTTTAAGAATAACCTAGCTCTAGACTTCGAACTCTCGTCTTCTGTTGGCATCCAGTTATGTACGATGGAGTGAATTCGATTCGAAAACGACTCATCTAGGTCCTAAATTTATAAGAATATACTAATACAACATATTACTCACCACAACAGACGTCATTGAGACAAAACTCTTCAATTTCTCCTCAATTGGCTCCATGAAATCGGTCGCATTCACTCGTAGAGCACATAAAACACGTATAAAATCGTTGTTAAACAGCTCGGTAAAGATTTGTAGCACATTCATGTTCAACAACACCTCCAAATTGGCGTTCTTCATCTTGTCTACAACAATATATAGCAGATCGACAAAGTAAAACGAGCTCATTTCTATGAAAATCTTCAGTTTTTCCTCATCTTGATATATCTCGGGCATTGGTGAGAGCAGGTTTGATAATATTTCTGAAAAAGGATATTGTTTTAGGTAAAAAATAAAGGTTTGAGAGCAGAAATTATAAAATACTCCATTAAGCCATCTAAACTGATGTAATATAGTTAAAGCTAGCCTTTCATTACCTAAAAATCAAAGAAAAAATACAAACCCTTACCAAAACACAACAAAAACGTCGAATCAATGGAGCTTTGCACCAGATTCCGCTTCAAAAACGGTACCAAAACCTGGGCGAACTGATGATTATATTTTAGCTTCTTCTTCAGACTTTGAACCTCTTTATCTTGCCCATCTGACAACACAAATTGCATGTAGTAGTCAATCAGCACCGACACAGCCACTAGTTGTGAAGCGGAAGGTGTTATAGATAACGAAGTCAAGTTAACCAATAACAACTCCACAAAATGAAACAGTCTGACGTAGATGTTGCCATCATCAAGGTCTGACTCATGATATGAGCGAGCTAATTCACTGTAAACCTCATCCTTCAGAAGCCGGAACGGAGTTGTGAACTTTTGCTTCTTCTGGGCCAAAAAGTTTTTCCTGTACCAGTTCAAGGACTTAACATAAGATATAGCGTCTTGTGTCACTGGTAGTAGGTGGTATAGGTATGCTTTTAATAGCCATATATATAGTGAAGCTTGTGCTTGGTGACTATCGGCTAAACTGTTCTCGGCATGACGGCTGAACTTGTCCACAAACTCTTCAACAAGCTCATCTGATGATAACATTGTCTAAAATTCATAATTTAATATTTTAACAAACGTCAACCCCTTTATTAGTGTACTTAAAAAAATTCCCAAGACATTTCTCTTTCAAAAAAATTCCAATTGCAACAAAAACACAGCATATTTTCATACCTAAAATCGAAAAACAAAAGTAAGCCACTTACCTTAAAGTTGTTAGAATCAAAACCAATCAAACACCCTATCCTTTGAGTTAAATCCTCATGACAACGATCATTTCGGTAATACAATTGGCACAAATCCACGTCCAAGTTATCAAATAAAGAAGACACCACATATCGAACATATGTAACCGGGTCCAACGTCTTTTCCTTGATAGCAACCAAATCTGTGCACAACTGGTTTATTCGCATCGCTTTTAAATTTTCAGCTTCTTGCACTTGACGATAAGATGTCTCCAGACGATTCTGTGTAGCGTAACCGTGAGGAACCTGGAATTTAGAAGTTTATTTTAGCAAATATTAACTAAAATACATTCTAAATAATAAAGTTTGAAGAGCTAAAAGTTAATAATTATATGAACATACCTCCATAATATAAAACAAATCGTATCTGCAATTATAAAGCTAAAAATCCGCAGATATATCGTTCGATATCAACACAATTTCTGCACAAATTTTTAAACAACCAAGATTTTATTTACGGACCAAAGTTCGGGCGCAGCAATTCAAACAAAGACATGTTATACGAAAAAAGCGTTTAAAACAAAAAGCCACTAAAATATTTCGTGGCAGGACTAAAGAAATAGAGTTAGCACGTTTTTCACGAGAATTTATCTTTTTTTCTTGATTTTGGCTATTTTATAAGTTGATTTATGTTGTATTTGAGTATATAAAGTAATATTTTAATTCTGGAGGGGTTATTTAACGGTTTTATGTTCTTTTTCAAGCTTTAATTATTGTTTTTGAGCTAATTTTTAGGCTTAAAAGACGTGCAAAACTGATGTATCCTTCTTGCTACAGACTTTTTTTCGAGCTTGGATATGGGTTTTTTTACTTTATAAAATATATAACAAGATTGTTATTGATATTTGAGGAGAAGATTTATGCTTTTTGAATGGATATTTTAAAAAAATATTAGCATTAACAGTTGAAAAATAAGGAACTAAGTTTTCATTATAACTTTTTTCAAAAAATATCTAGAAACTTGAAAATTAGTATGCTTTTGAAACAGATATTGTGCTAGCTGATCTGACAAGGACCATTTTTAATTTGACTTTATTTTCGAAGTTGTAGTAGCTATACTGTTACTTATTTTCCGTTATCATTTTAGGTTATTGATTTATTTTACTGCGAATTCACACTATTGAGCGGGTAACTGCTAATATTATAATTTTTAATATGAATGCCAGATTACTTATATAAAAATTAATGGGATTTTTTACCAGGATGCTGTCTAGAATCTTCACCCCAGCTCTTCGCTCCGTCCGCAACGCCGGACATCACGCTCCAGCCCCAAACAATGGTGCTACCTTGCCAGATATGGCCAAGTGGAAGCCACAAACTCCAACCAGCTTCATTCATGATGGTTACGCTATGTCTGTAAGTTTTTTATTAAAATCTTGTTGTTTTAGGTATTACGAATCGTTTTAGAGCCAAATTTCAATTTTAAAAGTTGATTACGTTTTTAACGTTGAAGATATGATAATATGTTTAAAGTTAGACGTATAAGCCGTAAATTTATTGCCATTTTGCATAAAATAATGAAGAAATTTTGAATTTTCACCAACAAATACCTAATCTTCTATTATAACATACATTAACAACTTTTTTAATTCAAAATGTTTTAGAAAGTTCCATTCAACGTCAGAAACCACCGTTTGTTCATGCTGAAGGCCACCCTTTTCTTGGCTGTAGGCTTCTGGGCTCCATTCATCGTCGTCGAGTACCAACTCCGCAAGGCCAACCAATAGATGAATATGCTCATATAGTTTCATTATTCTTTTGTGATTTTGTAGAAGAATAAATGTATCTGAGGTATTATGCCTTGTTTCCTTCTTTTTATACAAAAATTGCGTTGTTTTAGTTGTTTTTCAGGTTTTTCTTTTGAAAATTAAGCTTGAAGGTGTATTTTGAGATTTTTACATTAAATTTCAAGCAGATTTTGGCCGTAATGTCGGGAAAATGGTCCTTATTATGTTGGAGAAGTATACACATACTTTCAAAAACAAAAGTACCTTCAATCTCGAGTTATGTTCATATGAAATCCAGGAGCTCATGATAATTTGATGTATATTTCAATATCACGCCAAAATAAATAGACATCAACTAAAATTTTAAAAGTAAAACAGAAAGACGTTTCAAAAACCTAAATTTCGAAAAACTGTTGTTTTTTCAACCGCACAGCAATGAAATTCTGTGGAAAATGAACAACATTGCCATCGGCAATTTTTATTTTTTATCGAAATATTTCCGATTTTTCCCGGGTTTTTTCGCTCAAATGTTGATTAAAATGTCGGATGTAAATTATAAAATGAGTACATCAGCGTTTCTTGATCGGAATTATGAATGGCTGGATGCTGTTCTTGTGGTGATTCAACGGATTCTGCTCGCGATCCAAGTTTTGTGCGGATTCGAGGTTCCGTCGACGCATGGAGTTGAAAATGGATCTGTAAGTCTTTGATTTTGTTTGATTTTTAGGAATTTGAATGATAAAATGATGTAGCAAATATTTATCTTTATTTTGACTCTAATAGCATGTAACACGGCTAAACATCGACCGAGTTCTCGATCAAAACCTATATTATCCATGTTTCAGAACTTTGTTGTTCGTCATCTGGTCAGAGTCTCTCGGAACTACTACATTTTGGCGAAGGACTTCCGCAGTAGATTGGCGAGTGCTTGTCCTCATAGAATTGCCCTGCCTGAACTTCAAGCATCGAAGAGATATTGTGATACCAAGCATTCGTCGCCAGCCAGCACTTCCGAACCTCCACCAGAGTGCGATGAGAGTGCTATCAAGCAGAGTTTGAGTAAGTTTTTGTATTTTTGTTTGTTTTTTTTGTGTTTAGGGTTAGAGCTGGGTCAGTTGGAGAAAAAGAGGTATTATAGACGATAATTTTGGCTTTTTAGGCGGATTTTTTGTGTTTTAGATGAAATTTCTGTTCTTTAGGTGTAAAATTTTCATTTAAAAAAAAATCAAAGTTAATTTTAACTAGCCTTGGTGATAATTTATGATGTAGGCATCTTTTTTTTCGTTTTGTATTAATATAGGTAACAATCTACTTTAGTGATGAAGTACAACGATTCCATTGAAGTTGGCCGCTTTGAAACCTTGAACCTGAGCTCATTGGCGCACAAAGTTGTTACCGGACTAGTTGGAGTTATTCACGAGCCTCATAGCTTTGTAAGTCTTCTTTGGATCATATTTTAGGGGCTTTTTGTTGTTTTAGTTGATGTATTTTAGAGGTTTTTTGATGTTTTAGTTAATTTTAAAGCTATTATTGTGGAAATTTTGTGAAAAATTATAGTTTTAGTTAAGTTACTCTTATTTATTTGTGAAGAAAGCATGGATCTTGTTAATTTTTTATGATTTATATTGTTTTAGACTGTTCTTGCTGGGCTGATCCCATTGGAAGATGAAGCGTTTGTTTCTTTGGTAAGTTTGACTTGAGTTATTCAGGAATTACTATTTTGTTAACTAAAAAATTATTTTTACTTTAAATTTTACAAACAAAGGTACAAAATAATAACTATGTTGTTTTAGATCAACCTCTATAATAATATTGTTTTAGATCAACTTCTATAATAATATTGTTTTAGATCAATCTCTATAATAATATCATTTTAGACCAATTCCCCAGTTCGCAAATACTCTGAAGCCGATGTGACGATGAAAAGCGAGAGTCTTGCCATTCAAGATGATGCCAGTTCAGTGAAAGAGATTGAAGGTGATCAAATCGAGCGTAAAATGCCGAAATCGTCAGTGAGAGGTAAGAACGTTCGACGTCAATGTGAGATGAAGACCAAGTTCAACGAGAAGCCGAGTGTTGTCAATCAAGACGAGGACATTATGGAGCCCAGCGTGCCTGGCAAACGTATTGGAACTCCACATCCAGTGAAGAGCGCGGCCAAGAAGAATCGGAAGGTGGTCAGAAACGCAAATTCATTGAATTGTACTCCAGAAGTGGACGAGTTTGTGACTAGTGATGATTTGTCATCGTTTTTCGAAGGCGACGAGAAGAATCACATTACTGTTTGAGGGAGATACATTGCTTTTTGTGTGAGATACATGTCTGGTTCAGTGAGATAGATCACTGTTTGAGAGAGGAACGAAGAGAATCAGGTCTGTGCCCAATGGGATGATAATGTCACTGTTTAGCTTTGTAGCGTTATATTGTATATGATCGTCTAAAGAATGCGTGTGTTAATAGCTTTATGGATATGTTTTTACTTTAATGGTCAAAAAGTTTGTAGAATTTTCTGGTCGAAAAGTCTTTAGAATTTTATGGTCAAGCATTTTGTAGTTTTCCATTTTCTATGAACTTTTTGACCACAACGGCTTGATGGTAACGCTATATGTTTATTTTTAATCTCTCTATTTGTATCTGTATTACTCTGTGTACTTTTACTGTTCCTAAACATGATTTTTTTGTATCTTGAAGTCTATTTAATTAATTTAGGTACATTTTTCTAAATTGTAGTTAGTTTTACAGTCTTGTAGTTAATATTTGTCAGCTTTCCAATTGATTTTCAATAAAGTTTTTAACGGTAATGTAGTACTGTTATAGTATTAGATTGTTCACATAATAATGTGTCCTACTTAAACGATACTTTTGAGGTTGAGGGGCACATGATTATTTGAACAATTAAATATTTGATTTTTGATGTAATAAGGCCACTATGAGACTACTTTTAGGGATGGACAGGGAGGAGGTATGGGTGGAGCTCTCCCTTGCCTCTATCCTTACTCCTATCTTTACCCCTACTCTGATCCCCACCCTTCCTTTTAGCTGTACCCTTACCTCTATCCCTGCCTCCATCATTACACCTATCTTTACCCCTACCCTGATCCCCACCTTTCTTTTTAGCCATTCCTTTACTTCTACCCCTGCCTCTGCCCCTAATCACCCTATCTCTGCCTCTAACCTTACCAACACCTACCCCTATCGTTACCCCCATCACTGTCTCTAACCATATCAATACATACCCTTATCCCTACGACTAACCCTAGCCCGGCTTCTACTCTTACCCCAACCCTCATTACTATCCTTAACTCTAACCTTAGCTAGATCAGTATCACCCCATTAGTCCGCACCAAAAAGCCGGCCTAACCGTCAACTTTGTCCCCCCCCTCCCTCAACTAGTACCTAAGTCTCGAAAAACTAATAATTTGAGGTAGAAAGAAGCGGAAAACATAAAACTGACCACTCATTCCGACTGACAAGCGCACAAAAAGCAAAGACGAACAGTATTGAGTTGCAACAAGATGGACTGAAACAAGGAAAGGATGGACGTTCGAAAAACATCTTCAAGAACTGCATTCAATTTGTATGATTTTAGTCGCGAAAATTTTTAAAAACAGTTGTGGTTTTCAAATGTGTTCGAGTTTTTTTGAAATTAAGCTTAAAGTAGGCTTGAGAGTGGGGTTGTAAATTAAGGTAGGCTTGAGAGTGGAGCTGTGGATAGTTATAGTGAGGGGAGGGTAATATTACGGTAGAATGGGGCAAGACAGGGTTAAGGTTAGATAGGGTAGGGTAGAATATAGTAGAGTAGGTAAGGTGTCGTCATGTAAGACAGGGTAGGGTATGCTAAGATTACGGTAGGGAAAGGTAGGACAAGGTACAGTAGGTAAGGCTGGGGCTGGACAGGGTAGGGTAAAACAAGGTATGATAGGGTAATGTATGCTAATGTAGGTTAGGGTAGAGTAGGGTAGGGTAGATTAGGGCAGGGTCGGTGGAGAAAATTCGAAACCATTATTAATAGTATGCTTTACAGCCAAGAACTTGTCAATGAAACGTACCGTCAAGTACGAACTACTGAGTTTACCAGGCTGGAGCCGTGCCGAAGGCATTCGAATGATCTTTCATATGGCTGGTGTCGAGTACGACGACGTCAGGTTAACGGTACCTGAATGGAGGTTGTTCAAGGTTAAAGGTAACATTTTAAAACATTTTTATCATCCCTCCCCCCTGCCTTCAAAAATAATGTTCAAAAAAGAACCTTACTAGTCTTAGAATCATTTGAAAGTCTACCTATGAAAAAGTTCAATAAAAAGTGTCATATTTTAGCTTCACTACCACCAGAAGTTCGGCTACCCATCCTCCGAATCAAAACTCATTGTATTGTGGCTGGAACGGTGCCTATTGCTCGCACATTGGCAAGGCAATACGGTAGGTTATGAAGCCTTGCTTAGTACCTTGAAAATCATTTTTAAGCCTAAAAATTTTAAAAAATTGAAAAACACAGCAAAAAACGTACTGTACTTTAAGAACTTTTAGGTATGTACGGTGAGTCAGCGATTGAAGAAAGAGACATCGAAGAGATCATTCGATATGTTGACCAAATCCATGATGCTCTACTGCCTATCATTAGGCATACTTTGACAAAAGATTATGAAAAACGAGTAAGGCTTTCAATAAAGTTTAGGCTAGGGTACGGCAGGGTAGGATAGAGTAAGCTAGTGCAAGATATGGTAGGGTAACGCAGGGTAGTGCACAATAAGGTAAGGCATAGTAAAATAATGTACGGTAGATTACAAGAAGATAGAGTAGGATGTAAGAGGGTGGAGTGGGATAAGGTAAGGAAGGGTACGGTAACGCAGGTCAGATTACAATAGGGCAGGGTATGGCACAGTAGAAGCCAATAGATTAAGGTAGGGGGTAGGGTCGCTTGTTTATAATATAAGCGAAATTTAGAAAGCCTACTGGATGGACTTCAAAGACAACGTACTCAACCCAACCTTGGACTACCTAGAGCGAAAACTAAGAAACAATGACTACTTTGTTTCAGATCAGGTAACCACTGACAGTATCTATACAGGGTGTCCCAAGATTTTTGCGGAAAAGTAAAAGCTTGTTTCTCGAAAAGTACCAGACCAAATTGGACGATTCTTTTTTTAGTACACTTGAAATTGCGGGCGGATTTGGTATTGGTACTTCGTTTTTTGATATTCGGCGGATGGTCGGCGGAGACCGGCGGAGGCTACTTTTTTGCTTTGACCAATCCAAAACCTTCATTTTTTGGTTCCTATGTCACCTGCTGATTCGTCAAAACGCTTTCCAATCAAAACATGTCTTTCCCTGCATCGGCGGACGACCGGCGGAGAAAAACGGCGAAGGCCATAACTCCGCTCAAACTCAATATTTTTTCACCGGACAAAAAATGGAAATGTTATTTTAAGCTTTTTAATACATTTAATCAAGTTTACAGTTCAAAAAATTTCATTGGCTGACGATCGGCGGAGAAAATCGGCGAAGGCCGTATCTTGGTCAATTTTTAATAGTTTTTCTTCGGAAAACAAGTAAAAATGTTCTTTTAAGCTTTTTAATCATTTCAATTACGTTTAAAACTCGAAAAATTTCACCGGCAGACGATCGGCGGAGAAAATCGGCAAAGGCCGTATCTTGGTCAATTTTTAATAGTTTTTCTTCGGAAAAAAGTTGTTGGTACCCTAAGGTCCTTCTCTACCTAACTGTTACGAATTCAGAAATTAGTGAAGTTTTTAAAAATTAGTTAAGATTACTTTCGATCGACAGAGATCATATATTTTTTAAATAAAATCATAAAAACATAGTTGAAACTTTTCTGACTTGGTGTTATTTTTATTTTTTTTAAAACTCGTTGATCAAGAAAAAATGGTTTGGATTGCTGATGTTAAGAGTGAATGTGTTGAATGGTATTTTAAGTTAGGGGAAAGTCCTGAAAGCGTTCGTAGAAAGTACATGGCCGTGTATCACCCCCGTAGCCCTCGTGCACCCTGTCCGTCAGCAGATTCTATTAAACGCTGGGTTATCGAGTTTCGTAGTCGTCGCCACTGCCTCAGAAAAGAAAAAAGTGAAAACAAAGTAAGCACAACTAACAAAATAACATTTCTTTAGCTTTGTTGCCACTCCTGAAGTTGTTGCTAGAATTGGGGATGCTATTGCCGAGAATCCGCGAATATCTGTAAGGGAACTGAGCCGTTTTGAGGGTATACCTTCGAAGAGTACATGTAGTCGGAAATTGCGCGAAGATGGGTACCACCCATACAAACTTCAAAAAGTGCAAGAAATCTTGCCAAGGCACATAGTACAACGTTTATCGCATTCAAATGTTATGCTTGAGCAGCTGCAAAACAACGAGGCGTTTTTGGAAGAGCTAGTTTTTAGCGATGAATCCACGTTTCATATCCATGGCCGCTTAAATCGTCAAAATTCAAGGTGGTGGGCTAAAGAGAATCCTCACTGGTGTGTATCAGAGCCGCTGCATTCTCCCAAAACGAATGTGTGGGCAGCCATCGGGTGGAACGGGGTTGTGGGGCCTTTTTTCATTGATGAAAACATTAACGGGGCACGTTATTTGGAGCTGTTAGAGCAAGATGTGTTGCCACAGCTTCTACAGTGGCCAAATTCAGGTACGAAAAACAAGCAAAATACTAATTTATATCTTTTTAGCTACTTTGGTGTACATGCATGATGGGGCTCCGCCTCATCATAGCTTAGTTGTGCGCGAGTTTTTGAACACCCATCTGCCGGGTCGCTGGATGGGTCGGGATAGTCGCGGCGCTCCTCCTCCGTTCGTTTGGCCGGCAAACTCGCCCGATCTAACCCCAATGGATTTTTTCCTTTGGGGTTACGTGAAGGCAAAAGTATACAGTGTTCAAGTCGCGTCGTTACGCGAACTAAAGCAAAAAAATTCGCGATGTGGTTGCGGAGATTTCAGTGGAAATGTGTCTCCCAACTTTGCGTAACTATCCGAAGCGATTGCGACGGTGTCTTGATGTTGGTGGTCAAAGTGTGGAAAGGAGTTACCCAGCAACCAACGATGAACAATCTCATTAGTTAGCGTTGTTGTTATATAGGTTATTGTTAATAAACTTTTTATAAAAAATATCGGAATAGTTTTAAAAAGTTAAATAAAAAAAATAAAAATAATAATATTTTTATAAAAAAATTTTAAAAATTTAAAAATTTTTTAAATTTGTTTGGTAGAGAAGGGCTTTAGGGTACCAACAACTTTTTTTCCGAAGAAAAACTATTAAAAATTGACCAAGATACGGCCTTCGCCGATTTTCTCCGCCGATCGTCCGCCAATGAAATTTTTTGAACTGTAAACTTGATTAAATGTATTAAAAAGCTTAAAATAACATTTCCATTTTTTGTCCGGTGAAAAAATATTGAGTTTGAGCGGAGTTATGGCCTTCGCCGTTTTTCTCCGCCGGTCGTCCGCCGATGCAGGGAAAGACATGTTTTGATTGGAAAGCGTTTTGACGAATCAGCAGGTGACATAGGAACCAAAAAATGAAGGTTTTGGATTGGTCAAAGCAAAAAAAGTAGCCTCCGCCGGTCTCCGCCGACCATCCGCCGAATATCAAAAAACGAAGTACCAATACCAAATCCGCCCGCAATTTCAAGTGTACTAAAAAAAGAATCGTCCAATTTGGTCTGGTACTTTTCGAGAAACAAGCTTTTACTTTTCCGCAAAAATCTTGGGACACCCTGTAGAATATCGGTCAGAAATATCACTGCTAACTCTTAAATAACAATTTTAGTCCTAACCCATGAGTAACATATCAAACCTTCCAGATAACAGCCGCCGACCTCATCGTAGCCGAAGTTTTGTCACGTTTCGTCAACCTGTTCGACCAAAACATCTTGAAAACCTATCCCAGACTAGAAGAACACCGGCTGCGTATCGAAAATCAACCTCAGTTGCAACAGCTTGTCCAGAATCGACCAAAATCCGTCTTTTGATCGGTCCATCTATATTATTATTGTACATTGTTGTTTAGAATACAAAATGAAAATTTTTGGCCAAACTGTATGTGTCACTACTGAACTTGTAAAGAAACGGAGCCGGACCCAATTTTTCGGTCCCGTTCACGGACAGCGACGTTGTTTGGGCTTCGGCCCTCAGGCCCACGTATGCCGGCTCGAGGCCTTCAACTTTGCTTTGGCGGTGCCATTTAAAAAATTATTAAAATATTACTAATATTAACTATGACAACTTATATCTTACTGCTTCCTTACACCTTTTGCAAGTCAAATCTTTCGTTTCGGGGCCTAACAATTGTAAGTAGGCTGGGTCCCTGGGGTTTTGGTAAGGGTCCCGCTGGATCCCGGGCCTCAGTGCAACATAGGACGACTCAACTTTCAAATTTGCTTTGGCTTGGTCTAGTGGGCCTTCTTTCAAGTGTAATCGCTACAATAATTTGTTCTGAAGGGGGGGGGGGGGGGGGAGAGGTAAAAGCAAAAAAGTTTTTTTTAAACAACTCAACAATTTATTACTAATTTAAACGAGGTACATAACAAAAAAGACTTTAAATAACCGTTTACAATTAAGACACCGTACATAAGCACCTGAGAACCAAAAAAAATAAAAAAATTCGATAAAACATGTCATTAAAAGACTGAAAACTTGAAAACAATAAAAAAAAATATTACTGATAACTTAACAACATAAATAAAAATATTGAAAAAGAGATCAAATACATCCTTTTAACTAAAAAAAGTCAAAAATATACCTTCTAGACCAAAAAATTTAACTGTTCCCCACCATCTGAACCCTTACTAAACCTACATTTCTCTACCTACATCCAAACAACCCTAATAAACAAAACCTCTAATCAACCTGCATCTTCTTTGCCATCTCTAATCAATCTGCATCTTCTCCAAAGCCGGACTGACAACTCTTGAGCTTCTTTGCCTCAGAACATTAAACATCTCCTTAGCAATGCCATGTTCTCCATCCAAGTTCATCAAAGCTTCTACAACATCCCTGGCTCTATCTAGGAACCGTTCCAGGTTTTCTTTTGTGACACTTGAGGTAATGTTATGGCCAGTTTCGATTGGATCTTGAATATTGGATACGTCGCTGACTCTGAAGCCTCCTTGGCCGTACCAGCCGGCAGGTGCTTGAAACTCCTTGATTGGTATGATTTGAGCTGTCATTGGGCATAGAACTTGATCGGCTTTGTAGACGTTCAGGCAGAATTCAAAAAAGCCCTAAAAATTGTAAATTAGCCTTAGGCTATAACATTTTTTTACACATCAAAAAGTCTTCTCGCCAATTTACACTGACATTCACGTTCAAAAACGACAAAACTTTTTTATACTCTAATATATCCACTTTAAGGTAAAAACCAGCAATATCAAAACAACTTTACTATACCTATACCCAATTTAAACCTAAATTTCAAAAACCATCAATTATATTCCACTTACAATGACAAAATCCTTGATTCCACCATGATATCCACCAATATAAGTCAATTTAGTGCCTTCAGCAATTCCCTGGATTGGTTCGTTGTTTTCCAGCGGTCCAAGAACTTTTGAATGTTGACAATAGCAAAAGAACAAGATGGAGAATGCGTACGATGAAAAACAGCCGACCGGCCGTTCGGTGGACTTGAAAATACCAGCACATCTAGCCCAGGTCCTGATGAAGAACAACGTGTTTGATAGCTCTAAAATCGTAATAAAAATGAAAATTGTAAACCTTTAAAAACGTTATTATAGATTTTAGACCACATTTTAAGATAAGCTTAACCACTTTTGCTCAATAGCAAAATTGTTAAAAATTCAATAATTTCTGTGACATTTCGTCAAGATAGAAAAACATAGTAATTTTAACCAAAAATGCCATTTTAACTACTACTTAGACCTAATCAACTCAAAAACCACCAAAACCCGATAATTTTTGTGACACTTCGTCCACATAGCGTTTTGATGCAAATTTGACCAAAAAACGCCGTTTAAAATATCAAAAATAAGAAAAACAAGCATAAAAAGCCTACCAGGGTGATCTTCTGTAGTAAGTTTCAATAAATCAGCTTTTCTCATACCCAAAATATTGGTAAAAGACAGATCACAAGAGATATGATTGAATTTGAAGGTAATGATCGGAACTCGTGCTGCTTCTATACAAACCACGTCGGAGATCTCGTCAGTTTCCTCTTCGTATTGCTTTAATAGTCTTCCCAAAAACACGGCTTTCACTAAAAAGTAAAATAATTATGTTTTAGCTTAAAGAATAGAGGTATGGAATAATTACTGTAACTTAAACAATTTTGTGAGTATAGTAAAGTCTTTTGAAGAAAAGTTACAGAAGATAGTACTCTATAACCACATCAAAATTCACGTTGTTAGCTGTCTTTTGAAAAAAGTTATGACAAAAGTAATGTCCTTCACTCTTTGTAACCTAAAACAATATAAATTCAGACAAATCTTAGCAAATTTGCATTAGGTCAAAATTTTATAAACTCAACGTAAAAAGCAGAATAATATACAGCTCTTAAAACCTACAAGCAATAGAAACACATCTCCATTCCATATTCTCAATCCTTTTCTTCTTGAACACCTCAAGTGGATCATCCTTCAGCTTCAGATGGCTCACATCGACCGCTTGGAATGGAGTGTTTCGTTCAAACAAAAACGTCAGGTCCTAAAGACAAAAACAATCATAAAATATCTATAAACATACCAAATCCGCATCCAGAAGGCCGAAACCAGTCAAAGTTGATCCAAATGCCTTTACCTCAATATTCAGGCTCTCATCAAAGAACTGTCGAACAAAGGCGTTAAGTCGTGCCACAAACTCCAATCTTTTCATAACCTAAACATAAAATATCAAAGAATGAATGTGGATAGCTTACATTCTCTGGCTTTAGTTCAACTGTGTCTCTGATCATCTTGGCTTCACCAGAAAAGGACAATGGTACTTCATGCTTGTCAAACTCATTGATTATCCGTTTAATCACTTGTCTTTTAGAAACTTCAAACTTGTAATCACTCTCATGAATCGTTAGATTATCCTGAAATCAAAAACTTGATAAAAATCACAAAAACAGCTTTAGAACAACTCATATTATCTTATTCATCCCATCAGAAACCCATCTTTTCAAGTTTTTCCTCAAAATCAAGCCAAAAATCTAATTTTTTCTATCAAAGCCAAGTCCAAACTCACATTCCCAAACCGCAAAGTCTTGTAATTCAACAATCTCAATCCATGATCGTACTTCTCAAACTGAACAGTAACGGATTCCCGTCCTTTCGCCGACTTCAAGAACCTTATTGGTCCGTAATTCTCGAGAAATGTCCTGAAATCTCCAAAATTGACGCTTGGAGAGAAGCCATAAATCCGTAGCACCAACTTCTTTTTCGGTTTCATGTCGGAACGTTGAAATTTGCTCGATTCTGTGTCGATTTTCATCGTTTATTCATGAAATTATAGTGATTTTGCGGGAAACGAGAAATAAATAAATCTTTGACATTTCGTTTGTTTTTGGCGCGAAGTGTCACAAATTTTATTGGATTTAATCAGGTGGCTATTTTGGCAAGAAAATTAGTAATATTTAGTAAATATACTGTAAAAAATTATAACAATTTAATTTTTTAAAAAATTTTTAATAAATTTAAAATTTTTTTTGTAAATAAAGTTTTTGCAGCTTAAAAAATCGTGCCGAACGTCAGCAAGGTTTCAAACACCTCAATCAGACGGACCCGCCCACAACATGACATTGGCCGCTTGTCATAATCGGTGTCAGTTCGAATTTCGAAAAAAATGGCGGGTTGTGCACGTGCACTGATCGCCATTATGTCCTGTTCACTTCGTTTGTTTTAATGGCCTAGTCTTTGGGGACGGCGAATTGAGTGCCAATTTGAATGAATGTTTTTGCAAGATTGGTTTCCAGCTTCGTATCAGACTGTTTTGGCGCGTTTGCTTTACGATTTTTTGGGTTTTTGTGGTAAAGATTGTCAGGTTGGAGGGGTGATTTATTTAAGAAGAAAGAAGTGATAGGACAGGCCGGGGTAGAGGAAGCAAAATTAAGGTAAGTTAAGCTGTAGAAGGTTAAGATACGGTAGAGTAGTGTAAAATAGGATAGTTTTGGATTAAATAGGGTAAAGTACGATAGAGCAGAACAGGGTAAATAAAGGTATAGCAGACTAGACTAGGGTAGGTCAAGTTATGGAAGGTTATGTCAGGGCAGAGTAGGGCAAGTTAAGGTAGGCTTAGGCTAGGGTAGGATAAGTTAAATTAGTCTAAGCTAGGGTTAGACGTGAGGAACAAGCCGGGCCTACCCAATTTTAGGCCATGCCGGGCCTGAAACTCAAGGTGCGGTCCGACCCGAAAAGCTTTGGCCGTTTGCACGTAAAAAAATTTGGTCTGGACTTGAGAAAAATTTAGATTGAGCTAGGCCTGAAACTGGAAAAAATCGGCTCGGTTTGTTCCTAGTGTATAGAAACAGTAATGCAGTGTATGGTAACGTAGGGAAAGGTAGGACGTAGAAATATAAGGTAGGGTAAGATAAATTAAACTAGGTTAAGATAGGGTAGGTTAAGGTAGGCTATGGTTGGGTAAGTTAGACTACAGTGGGTTAAGATGGGCTAAGCTAGGGTTGGGTAGGATAAAATAGGGTAGGGTAGGGCAGGGTAGGGTAGGGTAGGGTAGGGTAGGGTAGGGTAGGGTAGGGTAGGGTAGGGTAGGGTAGGGTAGGGTAGGGTAGGGCAGGGTAGGGTAGGGTAGGGTAGGGTAGGGTAGGGTAAGGTAGGGTAGAGTAGGGCAGGGTAGGGTAGGGTAGGGTAGGGTAGGGCAGGGCAGGGTAGGGTAGGGTAGGGTAGGGTAGGGTAGGGTAGGGTAGGGTAGGGTAGGGTAGGGTAGGGTAGGGTAGGGTAGGGTAGGGTAGGGTAGGGCAGGGCAGGGCAGGGTAGGGTAGGGTAGGGTAGGGTATGGTAGGGTAGGGTAGGGTAGGGTAGGGTAGGGTAGGGTAGGGTAGGGTAGGGTAGGGTAGGGTAGGGTAGGGTAGGGTAGGGTAGGGTAGGGTAGGGTAGGGTAGGGTAGGGTAGGGTAGGGTAAGGTAGGGTAGAGTATTCTTTAAACTTTGATTTCAAATTTCAATTGGCCTTTCCTCCTTCACGTCACTTATTGTTTGTCGATGATTGAAGAATGGGTTTTGTGGCCAAATACCTTTCGAACTGGGGCTTCTGTTTGCCGATCCGCTTGCCTTTACTTATAATAATGCGCTTATAATCCATTCTTCAAGGTTTACTTGCCGTTGGTTCAGGCTTCGAACTTTTGTTGACAGTCTTTATGCTTTATTCAAGTTTGGTACAGTATGGTGCTCTTTTCTTGTTTTTAACAATTTTTTCATTTTTTTTGTTTTTTCACTTATATACCACATAAAATATAATGGCATAGGTTAAGATCACATTAATAGGCTATGACTTGGCCTTGGGCTAAAGTTAGGCCTAGTGTTACGGCCAGAGCTAAATATAGAATATAGTACAGTAGGTAAGGTATTGTAATGTAGTACAGGATAATGTAAGGTACGGCAAGGTACGGTAAGACAAGACAGAGTAGTTTAGGGTAGGGTAACACAGGGGGTGGTAGGGTAATGTATAGTAATGTTGGTTAAAGTAGGGTAGGGTAGGGTAGGGTAGTGTAGGCAAGGGTAGGGTAAGGTAGAGTAAGGTAGGGTAAGGTGGGGTAAGGCAGGGTAGGGTAGGGTAGGTGCTATTATATTCAATGAAAAAAGTTATTGCCACTTTTTTTAAACATTAGAAAAGTCATTGCCATTCTTTATGTATATGATGTGAACACATTTAAAAACACTTTTGAAACTTGAGGTTGTAAAACTTAATGACTCAGACATCTGTCGCTTTTCAAAACTTTTTGAATCATTTTTCATGAGACATAGTTCATGGACTGTGAAAGACGAACACTCTTAACAGTCGATTGCTCTTTTACTTTGTCTTGGTGGTATATCTTTGTGAATTGGTACTTTATAACGGGATTATTATAGATATTCACAACGGAGTACAAAAGGCCGGGTAAAGTGTAAATAAGGTTGGTTTAAAGGCTGAGGGGAGAGGGGTGTAACAAAGATTCGAGTAGGGCTGTTTATTTTTTACTGTTCGATCAAAACCAATGTTTGGCCCGGGTTAGGCTCTAGGCTCTAGGCTCTGGGCTAGGGCTCTGGGCTAGGGCTGTGGGCTAGGGCTCTGGGCTAGGGCTCTGGGCTAGGGCTCTGGGCTAGGGTTCTCGGTTAGGGCTCTGGGATAGGGCTCTGGGCTAGGGCTCGTATTTAGGGTTTCGAAAACTTGTCCGCTAATTTGAAACATTAATTTCTCAAGGCTATTTCAAATTAATAATCAAAAAACATTGGGCTGCTACTGCATATTTGATTGAGCATAAATTAATTATCATTAGGAAAGACACTTGCGCTTCTTTTTACACTTTTCTTATGCTTCTTAAAGTTTTCTCATATTGATAAAAAATTTTTTAAATTAAAAAAAAAAATTTTTTTTGCCTTTTTTTAAATTTTTTAAAACTGCCGTTTTTTCCCACAAAAATTTCTGAACTTAATCACGTTTCCTATCGCACGTTGCCCTCAACCTCCCCTCATCGTGTTATTTTGTTTTCATTACGCTAGCCGAGATGTTATCGCTCCGTTCCGTCCCAAAACTTTTCGCTTTTTTCGCTAAAAACGGTTGGGACAAACCGAATTTCAGCTGAAACGCGAACGAAAAACTGGGATTGATTCAGCAGCTTCTCGCCAACGCCACCGCTAGCCATGAGGACGAATTGAACGGTTGGAAGGTCACGTTGAACGGAATGTCATCGCCAACGTCGCAGCTTCTGTACGATGAGGCCAACGGGTTCGGAGAGGCCGAGGCTCGTGAGTTTTTTGAACTTTGTATTATAAAACGGCATTTTTAAAATGGTTCCGAAAAGTATGTCGTATTTTATTAAAAATTCAAGGTTTGACGAAGTGTCAAAACTTTTATTGGAAAAAATGACGAAGTGTCACAAAATTTATTGGAAATTTTTAAACCTAAATTTAAGTTTTTAAGCTGTTTTTAAATGTTATTTTTAACAAATTTATCAATATTCTATACTTGACGAAGTGTCAAAAGTTTTATTGAAAAATATGACGAAATGTCACAAAATTTATTGGACAACAAAATGTTTAAAAAAGTAAGATTTTTGATAATTTAAGTAAAAAATACCTATATTTAGTTACATCTAAAATTTTTTTTTTCAGCCAAATGGGGCTCGGCCCACGATATTCGACCGAAACGACCGGACACAACGCCGCCGACGAAACGTTCGCTGGGCTTTCAGTTCGGTCGATGTTGTTTGTTGTTTAGTTTAATATTGATTTTAATAGTACTTGGCTCAATTGTTGGAATGTACATTTTTCATACTTTTATTGGACATTGCGAGTTCTTCGAGAATGTAAGTTCAGTCTAGCCCTAGCCTTAGTCTTGGCCTTAGCCCAAAGCTCCAGCCGAGAGACCTAGCCCAGTTCTCTAGCCCAGAGCCCAGAGCCGTAGCCCAGAGCTCTAGCCTAGAGTCTTAGACTTGGCTTAAGTTCTAGCCCTGCCATGGCTATAGGCTTAGTCCTAGCCTTAGGCATTTCCCTATGGTTTGTCTTAATCTTACCTCTGGTCTTAGCTTCAGTTTCAGCCCTAGCCTTGGCTTTAGCCCTAGTCTCAGCCTCAGCCTTAATTTTGGTTCTAACTCTAGCTCTGGCTCCTAGGCTTGGCCAGAGCTCTAGCTCTGGTTTTAATTATGGTTCTAGCTTTAGCCCGGATACTAGGTTCGGTCCTAGTTTTAGCTCTGGCCTTAATTATGGTTAAAGCTCTGGCCCTAGGCTTCATTGTAGCTCTAGCTTAACTCCAGTTCTAGTTCTATCCTTTTATCCCTAATACACCCTACTAATAGCCTTATGGCTAGCCTTAGTCCTATTTTTAAATACCCACGTCTAAATTCAAAACTTTTCAGTTAACTACCGCCACTCCAGCTCCATCGCTAGCCGAACAAATCGACCAGGACTGTGGTCAAATCTACCCATGGCGCGAAATCCGATTACCTCAGGCGCTTCGACCCGTTTTCTATAAACTCTTCATTCATCCCAACCTCACTGATCTGACATTCACGGGACAAGTAGATATAGACATGGATGTGGTAAATGATACTGGAATCATTGTGCTACATCAATCCGAACTCAAAATTAAAACATATGCGTTGTACGTGCAGGGACAGAAGGTCAACGTGCGATTGGTGGGTTCATTTTAAAATTATTATAGAATTGTGGGCAATGGTTGATAAATACTTTGAGTTGTAACAGTTAGAAACGGTACATAAGGACATAGATGTAGACGAAATGTAATGTTAAAAATGGGCGGCGTGCTAGGCTAATACTTTGGGCTAAGAACAAGAAGAAGACTAAGGCTAAAATACTAACTTGGCTTGGTATTGAACTTTGACTTGAGCTATAATATTATGTCGTTGCTGAGAGGTTGTGCTAGGGTCACGGTCAGATCTAGGCTGGAATTGTTGTTTTAACGATTAAAACTAGAAAAGGCTAGCCTTAGGGGTTGGAGTTTGACCTATGGTTAGACTCAGGAATTAATTTTAGGCTAGGACTAAGTCTTGGGCTAGGGCTAGGCTTGGGCTAGTTTTAAAATTTTTGAAGCAAAAACTTTACTTTAGATGATATGCGACCGCTTACAACAATGGACTTTTTTACCGAGTGTTAAAATAAATAAGAATGAAAAGCTCAAGATTGTACTTCAATTTACCGGAGAGATTCAGAAAAACTACATGCAGGGACTCTATGTGAATCGACATACCGACCACAACAATGGGACTGAACGGTATGACAATTGGGGGGTCAATTTCATCTTTTAAAAAAAATTTGGCGGTGGAGAAAGAGGGCGCCCGATCTGGATCGGACGAACCGAAACAAAAAATTTTGCGGACCGGACCCAAAAATTTAAAGTTTGGACCGGACCGTGCCCAAAAACTTGAAGATTGGATCAGACCCAAAAACTGCCGGACCGGTGAAAAACGCTCCGGACCGGTTCAGGCAAAGCATTCGTTCAACCTAATAAAAGCCGTTTACCTGTTATGTTACAGAAGATCAGCAGTAACTCAATTCGAACCAACCAATGCACGAAGGGTATTCCCTTGCTTCGATGAACCTGAGTTCAAAGCCGTCTTTGATGTGGCAATCGTAAGAGAGAAGGATCACATTGCAAGAGCTAATACTCATCTACTGCACACCAAAGACTATGGAATTGAGTAGGTTCACCTTAACTTTGCATTTGAATAAGCTACCTTTGACCAAGACCTAGCTCTAGCTTTAGCTTTAGCTGTAGCTGTAACCCTAGCTCCAGCTCTAGCCCTAGCTCTAGCTCTAGCACTAGCACTAGCTCTAGCTCTAGCTCTAGCTCTAACTTTACCTCTAGCTCTAACTCTAGGCTTAGGTCTAGCTCTAGCCATAGCCTTAGCTAGAAATGAGGAACGGTCTGGGCCCGTCTTTCATGCTTGGTCCGATCTAAATTTTGATTAGACCCGGCCCGCGTTTTTTTATGTGCAAGCGGGCCGTACTTTTCGTGCAATGCCGGCGTTTGATTTTCAAGCCCGGCCTTTCCCTGATCTCTAGCCCTAGACTTAGCCTTGGCCGTAGCGCAAGCAGTTTTTATAAACAGTAAACTTCAAAATTTATGCAAATTTTGATTTTTTAGACTCGAGATTGATCACTTTGCACCAACGTTAAAAATGAGCACTTATATTTTGGCATTTGCCGTGCTGAACGACTTTAAAAAACAAAGGACAATGACAAGCACGACAAGACGACCAATTGAAGTCAATTTGTTTTCCAATGTTCCCAATATTGAAAACCAAGCCGTATTTGGATTGGATACAACAGCCAAAGCTTTGGCGTATTTTGAAACGTACTTCAATATACCGTTTCCCTTGCAGAAGACTGGTAGGTAAAAATTATCGTTTTTTGGTTTTTTAAAATAAGGTAAGAAAGGACAGAGCTGTGTAGGATAAAGTATGTAAAATGACAATTTAAAGCAGACATGTATTGTATTAGACCTTTCCTTTTAGAACTTCATATATTCAGATTTAATTGGCTTAGAAACTCGTTACTTTACAACTTCTTAGAGAGTTACAAAGTGGCCAAACAATAAGTTATATTTGAGATGAGTTGGGGTAATTTAAGGCATTGGTTTGCGCCAGCAGACTTTAAGTCTGCATGTGCTAGGCCGGGCCGCTTAGTATTATAAAGTAGGCTTAGTAGAAAAGCTATATTTTTGTCTTGTGTGTAAACAGGATAGGGTAGTTTTGTTCTTTTGTATTTTTAGGCTAAAAGGCCGCTTTTGTCAGTTTAACTTTGCTCTATTTAGATCTACTGGCATTGGATGATTTTGCTGAAGGAGCGATGGAAAACTGGGGGTTAGTTACCTTCAGAGACAATATGTTACTATACGATCCAAGCAAATCGCCGGAAAAGGCGAAAGAAGTGATTGCTTTGGTGGTTTGTCATGAAATTGCTCATCAGGTAGGCTTAAAAATTTTTTTAAATTAAAAAAAAAAATTTTAATTTTTAAAATTTTTAAAATTTTTTAAAAAATTTTTATACATGGACTATAACATTCAAACTACAGTAACCTAAACAATATAACAACCATTTTAGTGGTTTGGGAACTACGTTACCATGAAATGGTGGAACGACTTGTGGCTGAACGAAGGTTTTGCTAATTTTATGGAGTTTTTGTGCGCAGACGCTCTTCATCCTGACTGGAACATGATGACAACATACTTCTTGGACAACCATCTCTACAGTACTCAAATGGACGGCTTTCATACGTCTCATTCAATTTCGACTGAAGTAGAAGATCCCAATCAAATATCATCACTATTCGACGCTATTTCTTATAATAAGGTAGGGTAGGGTAGGTGGTAGGGGGAAGAATGAGAGGGTAGGGTATAGGCAGCAGGGGGGGGGGACAGAAAGAGGGTAGGGTGACTAGGCGACAAGGGCAAGAGAGTAGAGGTAATGAGGCTCAAAATTTGAGAGAGACGGAGAAGGGGGGGGGGTGGGGGAGTTGGGGCCCCCAACTTGGGGGGGGGGCTAAGGGTATTACAGAGAATTTTTTGATAGGGTATGGTTAAAGCATACTGTAGGATATTGGTTTAAAGTTTACTGTACAATTAAGCCAAGGTAGGATGGGGGTAAGGTATGGTAGGGTAGAGTAATGTAAAGTACAGTAAGATACTGTGGGGTAAAGTAAAGTAAGGTAGCGCCCAGTATAACAAGGCAGGGTAGGATTTGATAGGGTAGGATAGGGTAAGGTTTATAAATGACCTATGACATAAAGAATGGCAGAAAACAAAAAGTAGAAGGAGAGGAAGAAAAGCAGGGGAATGTAAAACATTTATTAAAGTAGAGTGGGGTAGGGTAGGGCTTATCAAGTTATCCTTGAATATTTTAGGGCTCAGCGATATTAAAGATGGTTTCAGCTCTAACTGGTCCAAATGCTTTCCAACGGGCTCTACAACAATACCTAAAAGCTTATGAGTACAACAACGCTGAAGGAATTGATTTGTGGAATATTGTTCAGCAGGTAAGCTGTTAGTTCTGAGGTTTTGCAGGGCAGGACTAGAGCTAGTACTAACATCTGGGGGTAAAATTAGGGTTAGGACTCTGGGCTAGGGCTAGGGCTAGGGCTAGGGCTAGGGCTAGGGCTAGGGCTAGGGCTAGGGCTCTGGGCTAGGGCTCTGGGCTAGGGCTCTGGGCTAGGGTTAGGGCTAGGGCAAGGGTAGGGCTAGGGCTAGGGCTCTGGGCTAGGGCTCTGGGCTAGGGCTAGGGCAAGGGTAGGGCTAGGGCTAGGGCTAGGGCTAGGGCTAGGGCTAGGGCTAGGGCTAGGGCTAGGGCTAGGGCTAGGGCTCAGGGCTTTGGGCTTGGGCAATTCATAACAAACTTTTTGGGATATGGTTGACCATAATATGTTAACATTGTTTCAGCATGCCAATTTGAATGTCAATTTGACAATAAACAAGCTGGCAGCAGATTGGACGACACAAGTTGGATACCCTTTCATCCGAGTGTCATTGAATGAAGATGGCACTAAAATGACCATTCATAACCAAGTAAGTTGAAATTCTTATTTTTTTTGTAAAATACGTTTATATTTACCTAAAAACTCATTTTTTTAATTTTAAAATATTTTTTCAATTTAAAATAAATTTTTGAAAAATTGAAAATTTTAAAACTTTAAAAATATTTTAAATTTTAAATAATTTTTTGAAAAATTTTAAAATATTGTAGTAGAAAAATTAAAATAGATCTTAATGTTCAAATTTTATTGTAGTCACGTTTCCTTTACTTAGAAGAGGAACGCTACCCGAATGTGACGGAACGCTGGTCGATTCCAGTCATGTATCGGTCGAGTGCGATCAAAGTTCCTCGATTGACCTGGTTCTTTGATGATACTGGTAAGGTTTAAACTTAAAATTTTTTTTATTTTAGTTTTATAGAGAATGGTAGAGTACGGTAAGGTAGAGAACGCTAGGTTAGGGCATGGTAAGATAAGATAGGGCGTGATATGGTAGTATAAAGTAAGATAGGCAAGGATAATATACAGTTACGATAGTTTTGAAGAAGGGTAAAGCTAGTATAAGGTCGAGTAGGTAACGGTTACCGTAAATTTGGTATAAGTTACGATTACGGTAAGCTAAAAAACTTTTTGGGTGTGGCAAGATAGGATAAGGTAGAGCCAGGTAGGGTATGGTACAGCAAGGCAGGGTAAGCTAGGCTGGAGTATAGAAGGATTGAGATTAGGGTACTGTGAAATAGGGTACTGCAGAGTAGAGTACTGTAGAATAAGTTACTGTAAAGTAGCATAGTTAGGGTAGAGTAGGGTATTGTAGGGTAGGGTAGGGTAGGGTAGGGTAGGGTAGGGTAGAATAGGGTAGGTTAAGGTAGGGTAGGGTAAGGTTGGATTTTAATTAAAAATAGTAAGATTTTACAATTTGTTTTAGAAACGATTGATCTCGGAACGATAAAATCGAATTGGGCGGTAGCCAACGCTGGTGCCAATGGCTTTTACCGCGTTTTGTATAGTGAAGACATCTATAAGGAGTTTATTCGACAACTCAAAAGGGATCATTCTGTAAGTAGACTATTTTTTTGTAAATTTAAGTACGATAGGGTTACTGTACTTTGAAAAAATACTAAAATACGCTGTAGCTTTAGTATGTTTGTTATTCAGATTAATATAAAGAATTTCTGTAAATGTAAAATACGGTCTTTGTTCGTAATTATTTTTTAAATTTCAGCAACTAACGTTGATTGACCGTGCTGTGATTATGAACGATGCTTTTGCATTTGTTAAAGCTGGGTATTTGAGCATTGAAATGGCATTCGACTTGATTTTATATGTTGAAGGTAAGTTACTTGTTTATATATAGCTTTAGCCCTATTCTAGCTAAACCCAAAGTCTTATCATAGCCGAGCTTAAGTCTAACCCAGCCCAGCCGATTACAACATAGCCCAACCCAGTTCAGCATAGCCCAGTCCAGCATAGCTCAGCCCAGCCGATTACAGCATAGCCCAACCCAGTTTAGCATAGCCCAGTCCAGCATAGCTCAAACCTGTTCAGGCCAGCCCAGGCCAGCCCAGCCCAGGCCAGCCCAGCCCAGCCCAGCCCAGCCCAGCCCAGCCCAGCCCAGCCCAGCCCAGCCCAGCCCAGCTCAGCCCAGCCCAGCCCAGCCCAGCCCAGCTTAGCCCAGCCCATTTCAGAATAGCTCAGCCCAACCCAGTTCAGCTTAGCCCAGTTTAGCCTAGGCTTTTTTTACGTTTAGTAGTAGCCCTATGCCTAGCTCTAACCCTCGCAGTAGCCTTGTAGCTCACCCTCTCTAGCTGTACTTCAAACCCCGTTGTGCAATAAAAGAATTTTTGCATTATTACCTAATATATCTGATATAACTAGGTAGCCTTAGAGAAATTGCAAGAAATAGTGTTACGTCATGTTTTCTTATGTAATATTATGTCTTTATATCATTTTTGCCTCGGTGTAAAACGAACCAACAAATTAATACGAGTACGGCAATTTTACTGTAATTTAATGCCCTAGCCCTGAGCCCTGTTTCCTATCCCTAGCTATTACATTTAGATCTAGCCTTTACGTTTAGTCCTACTCATAGTTTCGAAGACTAGCTATGGCTCTTCAGCCTAGGCTTAGTCCTTAAGTCTATTCCTAGCGCTCCAGACTAACCGTGCCTTATCCGTAGCAATAGTTTTAAGTAGTAGTGGCTTTAGCTTTAGTTCTAGCCTTAGTAAGATATTCCTATTCTATTGGTATCTTTACTCACATCTTTACTCACATCTATGTCTACTTAAATATGTTCTTTCAGAAGGCACTGAACTAGACCGTGTACCATGGGTAGTAATCCTACAAAACCTTCGCTATATTGAATACCTAATTGATGATGATTATGAACTTTTGAGTTTATATCAGCAATTTGAACGTCATTTGGTCTTAAAAACGTATGAAACGATTGGTTGGGAAATGCCTCAAGGGCACGCTGAGAAGATGTTCCAACCAGAGCTGTTACACACAGCGTGCAGACTGGAGATCAGCAACTGTAGCAAGGAAGCACAGGAGAGGTTCTATCTCTGGATTAATGATCGAAATTCGTAGGTTTTTATATTTAAAGGGTGGGGTATGGCTAGTACAAGGTAGTGTAACGGTAATACTAATATAGAGTAGGGTAGAATATGTTACAGCAGGATTAATATAGAGTAAGGAAGGGTTACGGGAGGGCTAATAAAAAGGACAGGTATAGTATAAAGTGGAGTAGGGTATGGTATAGTAGGGTAGGGTAGGGTAGGGTAGAACGGGGTAGGGTAAGACAGGTTTTTCATCTTTTTTGCCTGAAAATTTATTATTAGGTACTTAAAACAATATCATTCAATGCTTCAATCCATATTCCAGAGTCTCAGTGGATCTCCAGCCGTTAGTCCTAGAAGAAGGTATTAAACACGGCTCAACTCAAGACTGGGAGAACTTACTACACGACTATCTACATTCAAAAACGCCATCCGAACGTAACACCTTACTCTTGGCACTTACTGCGACACAAGATGTTAAGAATGTGATAAGATTACTTGACCTATGTTTTAATGGTGAAAGTGTAAGGCCTAACATACTACCACGAGTACTAGGAGCACTAGTACAGAATAGAGCGGCTGCTCACGTTACTTGGCGGTACATACGACAACATCGGGAGAGGTTGGAGGAAATGTAAGTTTTTTTTAAATTTTGATAAAAAAGTGATGTTACAGTAAGATTTTTTGTAAAATTCTGTTACAGTAAGAATTTTTGTAAAATTTTGTTACAGTAAGATTTTTAATTTTACTTTAAGCCTATAAAAGCCTTTTTTTAATATCAATTGTCATTTTAAAGTTATAAAACCATTTTTTTATTTTGCACAGTGCGACGATTTAAGACTGCACCCTGCAGTCAAAAATAGCTTACTGTATTAGGTGTCCCAAAACTTTTGAACCGAATTTAAAAAATAAAAATGGGTTTTCGGCAGCTAATTTTATCTACTTTTATTTTCATTTATTTTTATACCATTCTTGTGATAACAAAATTTAAATTCGCTAAATCTGCACGGTGCAGTCAAAAAATGTTGCACCGTGCATACGTTTTTAATGCTCGAAAAATCGTCAAAAAGGGTAAAAATCGAAGTTTAAAATGGATTTGGCATAGGAAAAAGGCTTTAAAATTAAAATTAGATATGATTTTGTTTGAAATTTCATCAAAATTTAAATTTTTTAAAAAAATTTTCTGATATTACACTAGATTTTGGGTGAAAACAACAAATTTTTAATTAAAACTTATATTGTACTAGCTTAAAAATGCTCATAAGATCTCATTTCAGCCTTGGCGATGCAACAGTCATGTTTGGAGCAGCCCTAAAGATGGTAATCGAAGGCTTTAGTACCGAATTCGACCTTCAAGAAGTGTACGACACCTTTTCGAAGCACGGAATCGGCACCTCCCACGCCCGAATCCACCAGTCGTTGGAGTCGGTTAGGCTTAACATCCAATGGCGCAGGTTAAACGAGAAAGCACTTGAGCTGTGGTTGAAGAAATGGCACTTAAAACAAAATAATCCTTGAGTTTTAACGATTTTATTCGAAATTTCAATAAATTTATGGAGAATATGGCTGGGTAACAACAAGAAGAAGGAGATTTTGGCTACTAGGCTTATTTAAAATGTAGTGATTTTAGGCTTAAATTGAAGAGAAAAGTCTAAATTTTAAATTTTGAAAAAAAAACTTTTTAATTTTTTATTTACCGGTCAATAAATAAGGTTAAAAGTCAAAAATCAGCTTGAATTCTGAGGAAAAATCTATTTTGTCTGTTTTTTAAATTTAAGTTTACCGGTCGATAAATAATAAGAACAAGATGAAATTAGGCTTAAAGTAAAGCGAAAAGCCTAAGGGTTTAGGTTTTTAAAAAAAAATTTAAAAATTTTGATTTACCGGTCAATAAACCACATTAAAGGCAAAAAAAAGCTTAAAATTTAGGGAAAAATCTAAATTGTCAGTTTTTTAAATTTAAATTTACCGGTCGATAAAACAGAATAAATAGATGAAATTAGGCTTAAAATGAAGCGAAAAGCCTAAGGCTTTAGATTTTTTAAAAGAAAATTTAAAAACATATAATTTGCCGGCCAATAAATAAGGTTAAAAAACAAAAATCAGCTTGAAATTTGGGGAAAAATCTAAATCTTCAGTTTTTTAATTTTAAAGTTACCGGTCGATAATTAAGACTAACAAGATGCGATTAGGTTTAAAACCAAGAAAAAAGCCTAAGGCGTTAGCTTGTTTAAAAAAGTTTAAAAATTTAACTTTACCGGTCAATAAATAAGGTTAAAAGCCAAAAATCAACTTGAAATTTGGAAAAAAATCTAAATCTTCAGTTTTTTAATTTTAAGTTTACCGGTCGATAAATAAAATTAAAAAGCAAAACTTTACCTTAAAATTTGTGAAAAGGTTCGGCTTTTACATTTTTGAAAGAAAATTTTAAAAATTTTTATTTACCGGTCAATAAATAAGATTTAAAGACAAAAATCAGCTTGAAATTTGGGGAAAAAATCTAAATCTTCAGTTTTTTAAATCTAAATCTACCGGTCGATAAAACAGAATAAATAGATGAGATTAGCCTTAAAATAAAGCGAAAAGCCTAAGACTTTAGGTTTTTGAAAAAAAGTTTAAAAGTTTTTATTTCCTGGTCAATAAATAAGGTTAAAAGCCAAAAATCAACTTGAAATTTGGAAAAAAATCTAAATCTTCAGTTTTTTAATTTTAAAGTTACCGGTCGATAATTAAGACTAACAAGATGCGATTAGGTTTAAAACCAAGAAAAAAGCCTAAGGCGTTAGCTTGTTTAAAAAAGTTTAAAAATTTAACTTTACCGGTCAATAAATAAGGTTAAAAGCCAAAAATCAACTTGAAATTTGGAAAAAAATCTAAATCTTCAGTTTTTTAATTTTAAGTTTACCGGTCGATAAATAAAATTAAAAAGCAAAACTTTACCTTAAAATTTGTGAAAAAGTCCGGCTTTCAAGTTTTTCAAAAAAATATATATAACTTTTAATTTACCCTATAATAAGTAGGGTTAAAAGACAAAAACACGCTTGATTTGGGAGAAAAAATCCAGATTATAAGTTTTTTAAATTTAAATTTACCAGTCGATAAATAAGCTTAAAAAAGCCTAGTAAGCCAAAATTCATAACAAATATAGTAATATACATGTATAATATAATAGTTTAGGTATAAAGTGTGAAGGACCTGTATCAACAAATATTTTTTTGTACAATTTGAATAAAGGATAACATTATAGTAGCATGTTATGGAGTAAGAGTAAAGGTTGTACTGTAATCAAAGTAACAATAAGCGATTTGGCGGGGTAAAAGAACTAATTTAGTTGTAGAAGCATACAAAACGTATATTATAGTAAGTTACGGCTTATATCATATCATATTTACATTAACAAAGGTAGTCAGAAGTAGCGCCGGGCGGGGTAACTTTATTTGTAGAGCAGGGTGGGGTAGGGTAAAATAGGATAGAGTAGTATAGGATAGGGTAGGGTAGGGTAGGGTAAGGTAGGGTAGGGTAGGGTAGGGTAGGGTAGGGTAGGGTAGGGTAGGCTAGGCTATTGCAGGGTAGGCTAGGCTAGTGCAAGGTAGGGTAGGGTAATATAGACTAACCTATCATACCCCGCCCATTTCCCTGCATTCAGCCGTGATCTTCCCTTCATAAACAGGTAACACTACGTTATCATCCATAACAACAGTCCACTGATAGGGTGCTGATCCATCTTCACATGGTCCTTTGAACATAAACCTCTTCGAAGTCCAAGAATTTATGCCAAAATGATGTCGAAACAGACCAAATGTCATAGACCTTGAGTATATTCTAGAAACAAATGGCACTCCAGTCTCGTCTTTGTACGAAACTGGCAGATAGGAGGGGTAATGGTCTTCTTGGGGGCGGATATCTGAAAAGAACATAAGTTAGAAAGCCGGAACAATATCCTACCCTACCCTACTCTACCCTACCCTACCCTACCCTCCCCTACCTTACCCTATCCTAACCTAATTTACAGTACCCTACTCCACAGTATCTTACCATGTAGTGTCCTTCTCTACAGTACCTTTCTCTACAGTATGCTGCTCTACAGTATCCTACTCTACAGCAAAATACTATACAGTACCCTAACTTGCAGTGTCCTTCTATACAGTACCGTACTCTACAGTACTCTTTTCTACAGTAACCTACTCTACAATACCCTAATTTACAGTCCTAACTCTAACGTACCCTACTCTATTGTACCCTACCCTACCTTTACTCTACTCTATCTTACCCTTCCTCCACGGTAAATGATGATTGTCTTACCGAAAGGATACGAGTTGTCTCTAGGAATTCGAGTTCGCTCGTTCAGCTCAGCAAGGTGAAGATGGGCTGATTCAGATGAACAAAAACCCGAACTGTCACTGAATTGTTGGTACACGTTGCAGCGGGAGCTGAAATTAACTTTAATATTTAAAAAAGTTAAAATTTTCTTAAAATAATCGGTCAAAAAAGTCTTGTCGCTATTTTACACCGTTTTCTATAGTACAAAACGACAAGACTTTTATTCAAATTGTAAAACATTAAAATTACCAAAAATAAAGTCATATCTAAAATCTTCTTACCCTCTATGCCTCTCCACTTCATTATAATCAAAGATTGGCATGTGGAGTGGGGCGGGCGGGGGTGGAGCTTGGGCGTGGTAAGAAGTTGAAAATTCGTTCGGGTGGGTGCATTTATTCGACAATGGTGCTACCAAATGTGTATGTACTGCAAATAAATGGTCTTTCAGGAACGGTCGGAACGCTGTGTTATTAAGCGAATCGAATTTTTTAAGCCTGGGCGCAGCTGGGGGATGTTGATGTAGTAGAAGGTCGTTAGACTCGCTGAAGGCGATTGAGGCCGATTTGTGCATGAATCCTTTGATTGGAGCACTTGGTACACGATTTTGATGATTTTTAGTTTTTGGTACAGTTGGTACTCCGTTTGGTACACTTTGGTCATTTGGCACCATATTCATGTTATGTGCACCATTTGATCCGGAAATGCCATTAAGTGCTCCATTTGGTCCACTGTTTGTGTATGGTACCCCATTTGGTACACTAGTTATGTATGATACCCCATGACCACCTGGTACCCCATAGCCGCTTGGTACCCCTTTAGTATTACAAACTCGGGCACTAGGTGCCAAACTCCATTCACACAGTGCCTCAGGCGGTATAGCGTCTTCTTCATCCCAACTACTAGGCGTATCACCTCCCAAGTCAAGCCGAAACTCATTCTCTTCCCTCCGCCTATCCTCATCATGTTGTTGTAGAGCTAATGGTGCCAAACGATCACACAGAATCCGAACGAACAAATCACGGTCTTCTTCACGTTCATGCCGAATTGGAAACGTGCCTGGGGCTTCTGGTTCTAACTGAAAGATTTGAATTTTAAAATTTTTCAAAATTTTTAAAATTTTTTTTTTAATTTTAAAATTTTCAAAATTCAAATTTTTTGTAATTTTAAAGTAATTTTCTTATAAATTTTAAAATTCTTACAAACTCGTTGACTTCAGAATCCTGATCATCGTGTGTTCGTCGTATGTCTTCTTCTTTCCGTGGTGCTCTAAAATGTATCGGTTTTTTAAAAAAGATAAATAGAAAAGACTATCCTTATAGTACTGAAATTATAAATAGTAATGAAAAAGCATTACCCCTATAGAAAAAAAAGAAGCAGAATAAGGTAAGCTACTTTAGAAACTGATTTAAAGGTAGGGGTAGAGGTACCCATATTGTAATAGAAAGAAAAAGCTGATAAAGAGTTAGATTTTGAACTGATTTAAAGGTAAACTAAAGCTCGGTCAGGGTAAGGTAGAGTAAGAAAAACTAGAAGAAATTTTAGAAAGGGACATAAGGGTTACGGTATAATGAGATTAGGGTAGATGGGCATACTGCAAATTGCTATAGAAATACTGTAAGTTACTATAGGCATAATATATTACGGTAGATAGTAAGTACACAGTAGAATAGAGGTATGAATAATAGGCAAGAAAAATTACGCTAAGGAAAGAGTAAAGTAAGATAGGAGAGAATACAGTAGGAGTAAGCGTAAGAAGACAGCATATAACCCTACCCTAAGGTAGTGGTGTACTGTAGCTGAGCATAAGGTCTAATTTAAGGAATAGTAAAGTATACGGTAGCGGACAGTGTAAGGAAAAGTAAGGTAGGGTAGGGTAGAGTAGAGTAGGGTAAAGTAGGGTAGGGCAGGGCAGGGTAGTGTAGGGTAGGGTAGGGTAGGGTAGGGTAGGGTAGGGTAGGGTAGGGTAGGGTAGGGCAGGGTAGGGCAGGGTAGGGTAGAATAGCGTAGAGTAGGGTAGTCGTACCGTTTTGCCGGAGGCTCTGACTTCGCTCTGAATCTCTCCCTTTCCGTAGTCGATTGAGAATCTCGACATCTGAATTTAGCAAATCCAATCAAAGGTGGTACCCTCGAGTTGGCAGTCATATTCCTCTGGGCTGTGATCTCTGCCATTTTAGCCTTCCCACCGGCTTCAGACGCCTTCACCACGGTGTGAAACTCGGTCGAACTCACAAATAGGGTGTGTTGTTCACAAAGATAACTCCAAACGTAGGGCGCGAGACGGTCGAAAATATCGACCGGTGGAGTCTGTTTTCGAGCACGATACTGTACCACCTTGTGCGAGATTTCTTGTCGTAGTTTTTGTGGTAGGAAGTCGCAGAGGCCGGTTCTTGGACTGAAAATAAAATTTTTATGTGTTTTAAATTTTAGGTAAGAAAAAATGTTTATTTCGTATTTTACAAAAGTTAAATTCAAAATTCGGTACCTACATTTTTAAATTTGTTACCTAAAATTTAAATTCCTTACCAAAAAATAAAAAAAATATCAGAAATTCAAAACTGTTATCTAAAACTCATAATTTGTTACTTGAAATTCAATTCTGTTACCTAAAATTTTAAATTGTGTGCTGAAACTTCAATTTGTTAAATAAAATCTTAATTTGTCGCTTAAAGTTCAAATCTGTTACCTAAAATTTCAATTTTTGAGTTAAAAATACCATTTCTAAGCCAAAAATCTCAATTTGTTACCTAAAAATTTTAGATTGTTACCTAAAACCTCATTTGTTAAAATTCAAACTAGTTATCTAAAATCTTAAATTGTTACCTAAAATCTTAATTTATTATCTAAACTCTTAAATTGTTACCTAAAATGCAAATTTGTTACCTAAAATCTTAATTTTTTACCTATAATTCAAATTTATTATCTAAAATTTAAATTTGTTACCTAAAGTGCTAATTTGTAACCTAAATTTTCAAATTGTTACCTAAAATTCAAATTTGTTACCTGAAATTCCAATATGTTACCTAAAATCTTAATTTTTTACCTAAAACCCCGATTTCTTACCTACAAACCCGCCCACCGCCACTCACCATATATACTTTTTCTGCATGGCATAGGCCATGTTCATAGCACGTTGATCCTTCTTCAGCACGTGTTTCCTGAATGCAATTATGGCCAAATAAAAGTCCAAAGCGTCGTCGCGGCGATGAAGCCGAAGCCAAACCCTGAAGGCATCAATGGCCTGACGCTCATTCAATAAGGCATCCAGAGACTTGTGCCATTCCAAACTGTGGGAACCTCGTTGGGGGGGCTGGTCTATGTTCATGGCCTGGAAATGAGTAATAGTGGTAGGTATGGTAGTTGTATGAATCATATATTAATTTAGGTTTGTTTTTCAAATAATTCTGAGCCCCCTTTTAATGCAAATTTTTGGATTTAAGTAGCTCAGACTTTTCTGAACAACCTAATATATTAATATAGGTACATACATGAATATTAGGATGTTCAAATAATTCTGTGCCCCTTTGCAATGCAACTTTTTGAGGTAAGGGGGTGCAGAATTACTTGAACAACACAATATATTAATGTAGGTAGAGATATTTGTTGGGTTGTTCAAAAAATTTTGCGCCCCCTCCCTCTTAAAGCAAATCTTCGGTTTTAGGTGGCTCAGAATTATTTGAACAACGTAATATAATTATGTAGGTATAGAAATAGCTCTTATTTTTAAGATATTTACGTTTTACGATGTTAATATAATCAATTAGTTTATGTAAAAAAAGAGTTTTAAGTCTGAAAAGTATTGTCGCCGATTTACATTACTTTCCCTGATGAAAAACGACAAAACTTTTTTGACCCCAATATATATTTCAATTACTAAACCTCAGGCTAAAGTAACAAAAAATACAATATAAAAAGAAAGAATAACAAGAAAAACATTTAAAAAAATTCAAAAATAGTTTCAAAAATTAAAATTTATTGAAAAATGGCGGTAAAGATGTCATATTGACCATAAACTTGATAGAAAAGGTAATAAAAACAAAAAAAAATGAAAATATTACGAAAAGGAATGAAATGCTAGACTAACAAACACAGTTTTAAGTTTATATCTTAGTGGTTGGCAAGGTATTAACCTGAAGATGGCCAAAAATCAAAAAAAGTTCGATTCCGCTTGGAAAATATAGCCATTTTTGGGTTTTCAAATTGCTGTAACTTTGTTGCCGTTTTAGATAAACCGACCAAAAGCAGTGGAAATACACACCTTGCCATGCTTCTTGTAAAATACGTAGTAAACCATTAGAACTTTTTCTAAAATGGCCAAAAAATTAATAAAAGGTCAATTTAAACAGGAAAAAATTAGAAAATTGGTCGTTTTTAGATTTTCAAATTGCTGTAACTTTGTTGCCATTTTATAAAAACTTACAAAAATTGGTGAACTTGTTCAACTTTTTATGCTTTGTAAAATACGCAATTTTTATTTATTTATTTTTACAAAAAACAACCAAAAAATTTAAAAAAAGTCGATTTGAACCGAAAAAATTAGAAAATTGGACATTTTTATGTTTTCAAATTTCTGTAACTTAGTTGCCATTTTAGATAAAATTATAAAAATTTGTGACATGTTGCATCTTTTCATGGTTTGTAAAATACGTAAGGCGTCAAAAATTTTTTTTTAAAACGGCTGAAAATTTAAAAAAAGTTAATTTTTCGTCGAAAAAGATAGAAAATTTGTTGTTTTTGGACTTTCAAATTGCTGTAACTTTGTTGCCATTTTAGATGAACTAACAAAAAGCGTTGAAAATGTGCATCTTTTTAAGCTTTATAAAATACGTAACACAAACTGTTAAAATTTTTTTCAAAAACAGTAAAAAAATTTAAGAAAAGTTAATTTTTCGTCGAAAAAGATAGAAAATTTGTTGTTTTTGTACTTTCAAATTGCTGTAACTCTGTTGCCACACTCCTCAATATAAAATGTCAAAAAGTTCAAAAATCTATTGACAAGCCCAATATTATTGACATTGACAAAAATAGAAACGTAAAAACAGCTGGTTATTAAAAGAAGCACGAGTACTTACTTTTCGAGGATTAGAACAAAAAACAAGGAAATTAGAAAGCCGTTTTTTAGCAGCCCAATTACAACACACAATTACTATATTAAGGCTTTGTGGAATGAAATTGCATAAAATACACTTTATGTTACAAAACGTGCTAAACTAAAATTTTTTTGAAGTATGTATTATAATACTGTAGCAAGGGTTTATGGCTAAGGTTAGAGTTAAGGCTTAGGCTTAGGCTTAAGCTCAGGCTTATGTTTAAACTTTGGTTCATGCTTAGGATTACCTCAATCTTAAGCTCAGGCTCAGGGTCGGGCTCAGGCTTAGGCTATTCTCACGTTCAGGCAGAGGCTCAGGCTCACGCTTAAGCTCAGGCTCAAGGTTAGGATTAGGTTTAGGCTTAGGCTCATGCTTAGGATTACCTCAAGCTCAAGCTCAGGCTCAGGCTCACGCTTAAGCTCAGTTTCGTGTCAGGCTCAAATTCGTGCTAAGGCTCACACCCAAGCTCAGCCCCAAACTCATGCTGAGGCTCAGGCTGAAGTTGAAGTTTGGGTTTGAGTTCAGGCTTACGCTTAGGCTAAATCACTACCAAAAAGCACTAAAAGCTCTTAATAAAAAACCAAAAAAATTTAAAAAACAATGACAACATGACATACACAAACCAAAACATGTCACAATGCAAATATACAACGTACATACTCACATCCATAGTGAACGTATACGTAAAGCATATATGGATGTTTACTATAAGCCCAAGGTAGGCCAGTAGTTTCCACAGAATTTGCAACCGAAACCAGTCTACAACATCCCCCCCCTCTCGGCGAACGCAGGAAGCCCTACCTTTGTACTATCGGCCTTTCGCAATTTCCGCGGCGGACGGATTCGAACTCGCATCGTGCTACAACAAACATTCTCTCATTTCACAGCCCGGAAACGCCATTTCAAATCAATTACAATCGAACAAAGCGGGTGAGACAAGGAACGGCAAATGGTGTGGTGACATGGGGAAATTTGGTGGGATCTAATTTGGTAGGGTAAATGGCAAAATATAGTAAAAAGTAACAAAACGTTTTAAATTTTTATACTAAAAATAAATTTCTTACGATAGTACGATTACATTTTTATAGTACTTATTTTGGAATGTAAAGGTAATGTACAAAATGTTCATAGACCGGGATAAAGCTGGTCTAGATGAAAACTATTAAGGCTAAGAATAAGACAACACTTAGAGCAAGAACTAACAATAATAAGAGCTTGGTCTAGTCCAAGGACTAAAACTAGAACTAACACTAGGATTAAGCCTACAAATAGATCTAAAGCTAAGACTAAGACTAGGACTACTACGAAAGCTGGGGTTCCGGGTTAGGGCTTGGGCTCTGAGCTAGAGCCCTGGGCTAAGCTCTAGGCTTGGGCTCTGAACTAGGGCTCTGGGCTAGGGTTAGGGCTCAAGGCTCAGGGCAAAACTAGGGCCCTGGGCTAGGGTTAGGGCTTAAGGCTCAGGGCAAGAACTAAGGCTAGCCAATATAAGAAATATATAAAATTTTAGTTTTTAAAAACCCCATTGTTACCTAAAAACCCAAAAGGTTCTTTTTCCACCCTCAAATGTGATAAAACCACAAGATATCTTTGCTTTGTTTATAATTAGCTTTACTTTACTTTTGGGATTACGAAAGAGTAGGTTATGGGTGGTAAAATGATGTTATTACATCAAATTTGCTGGCCAAAATGTGACTTCTCACGCAATTTCAATGTATTTTAGGGTACTTTAATTAATTTTTTTTAAAATTTTTTACATTAAAATTTTTAAAAGGATTAAAATGGAAGTAGAGGATAGGGTAGGGTGTGGTAGGGTAGGGTAGGGTAGGGTAGGGTAGGGAAGGGAAGGGAAGGGTAGGATAGGGTAGGGTAGGGTAGGGTAGGGTAGGGTAGGGTAGGGTAGGGTAGGGTAGGGTAGGGTAGGGTAGGGTAGGGTAGGGTAGGGTAGGGTAGGGTATGGTAGGGTAGAGTAGAATAAGGTAAGGTAAAGTAGGAAAGAGTAAAGTTGGGTAGGGCAGGCTAGGATAGAGTAAGGCAGAAACGGGCAGGGCAAAGCAGGGTAGGGTAGGTTGAAATAAGAAACGGCCTGGACCTAACATTGAGCCGGTCCAACCATGAGCAAAATTTAGATCTGGCCGGGTCTGAAAATTGGGCCCGGCCCGTTTTTCGTGTCTAAGAGTAGGATAGGGCAGAACAACCCAAGCTGGGGTAAAGAAAGACAGAAAGGCCAAGGCCAGGGCAAGGACAGAGGCAAGGACAGGGGCAAGGCCAGGGGCAAGGCCAGGGGCAAGGCCAGGGCAAGGCAAGGCAAGGCAAGGCAAAGTAGGGCAGTGTAAAACATTTGTCAAATAAAGATTCATCCCTTAAAATCCTCAACATCCCCCCCCCCCCCCACTCTCACTTTAAGTGCCGACATAAAGAACCCGCCATTTTTTACAACAATTTACACAAAAGGTATGGCGGGTTCTTTATGTCGGTACCTAATATTACTCTTATTACCTATTTTTCACCCCCCCCTTCCTACCCCTTCAAACCAATAACAAAACCCCAAACCCATTATGCCAATTCCAAACTATTTGGTTATTTTTCCTCAAAAAACCGCTTAATTCCTACCAAATTATTTTCCCAACAGCCTCCGGGGTGATATCGTCTCAGACACCAACTATTCCATACTTCCCCTCCGGGCACGGATTAAAACGCCATGTTTTTAATCAAAACACAGACAAAAAACAAAAAAAGGTAATACCCGGGTTCAACGTCACACCCCAGCTTCGTGGTAACGGCGTTTGACGTGATGGTGATTGTGTATGTGTTAGTGTACGTGGTAATATAAGGTAGGATTTTTTTTTAAAAAGTGTTTGGGTAGGGTAAAATAGAGTAGAAGTTTTCGTCGATGAAAACTTGGGTAGAATGCTATAGCATGGTAAAGGAAAAAGATAGCTTAGCATAACTTCAAGGTAATGTAAAGCTAGTACAGGTCAGTAATATATGATATACGACAAAAAAAGCTAGACTAACACCTAAAGCTAGAACTAGAGCTAGGGCTAGAGCTAGAGCTAGAGCTAAAGCTAGAGCTAGAAGTAGAGCTAGACAAGGGGAACGAACCGGGCTTGAGAAAAATTTAGATGGGGCTGGGCCTGAAAATCCCAGAAAAACTCAGCCCGGCCCAAAAAAGTCCGAAAAATCCCGGCCCATTTGCACGTAAAAAACTTGGGCCGGGCCTGCGCAAAATTTTTTAAAAGATCGGGCAGGGCTTGAAATCACCGAAAAAGCCCGGCCCGACCCAATAAGCTCGGCCCGTTTGCACGTAAAAAAAAACCGGCCGCGCCTGAGCAAAACTGTGGTCTTGGTTTACAAAACGGACTAGGCCCGTTCCCCATGCCTAAATAAAGACTAAAAACTGGAGCTAGGGCTACAGTCAGGGCTACAGCTAAGACAAAAGCTAAATTTAGAGCGGTGGTTTAGGGCTCTGGGCTAGGGTCCTAGGCTAGGACTCTAGGCTAAGGCTCTGGGCTATTACTATGGATTAGGACTCTGTGCGTGGGCTTTGGGCTAGGGCTCTGGGCTAGGGCTCTGGGCTAGGGCTTTCAGACAATGCAAATTGATTCGTTTAGTGGCTTCAATGACACTTTAAGGAACAGAACGTTTATAGTTTAATCTCTTGTTTGACTCATTCGGGCATTTGCAAATTTTTTTATGATGCCATAGTTAATATCATGATATAATAGTAATTAGACATGGTATCATATAAATTAAAGTACACTTTTTTACAATTTTTTACCCTGCCCTATCTTACCCTTCCCTAATCTCCCCTTTCTCCCTTCCCCTCCCCCCCCTCCCCGTTACTTTTTCATTACTCACCCCCCCCTAAAAAGTGCCCTGAGTACAAACTAATGTTTCAAGGCTCATTAAGACTATAAATAACCCAAAAAAAGCCCATGCCCCAGCTATATATAGCCAATTATCAGAAGAGCAATGTTAATTGTCACCCAAAACAAAACACCTCAAGGAAAAACAAAAACGGCCCAAGAAAATGGTAGGTGTAAGAAGTGTAAGTGAGATTGTCATGACGACCTAAAACAATTACTACAATCTTAGTATCAGGAAAAGTTGACTGCCTGTGATTAACTGCAGCTGGCTGAAACTGTTCCGCGTAAACAATTAAGCTTCTGGGAATTGTGGAAATTTTAAAGCCCTAGCCCAGGGCTCTAGCCCAGAGCCTTAGCCCAGAGCCCTAGCTCAGAGCCCTAGCCCAGAACGCTAGCCCACAGCCCTAGCCCACAGCCCTAGCCCAGAGCCCTAGCCCAGAGCCCTAGCCCAGAGCCCTAGCCCAGAGCCCTAGCCCAGAGCCCTAGCCCAGAGCCCTAGCCCAGAGCCCTAGCCCAGAGCCCTAGCCCAGAGCCCTAGCCCAGAGCCCTAGCCCAGAGCCCTAGCCCACAATCCTAGTCCTAGTGTGGCGAGGCAGAGTAAGGCCACTTTATTGTAGCTTTATTCTAGCCTTCTCAGGCCCTTGCCGAACCCTATCAAGTCTTGCCTTGGCCCTATCTTTGCTTTATCATAGAGCTTGCTTTAGTTATACCCCGCCCTTACTATTATATACCTTTATTTCTACTTTACCTTTTCTAATTCTTATCTTAGATCTAGTTTTCCCATTACGTTACTATACTTCTACCTATGTTTTATTACTTTACTCAACTACATTTAGGAAAAATCTTGTACAATTGAAATTAGATAGTTCAATTAAAAATGCAATGCCTGCAACTTTATTTAGCGTTACCTCACTCACTGCTTTGCCATACTCAAGTCAAGTCAAAGCCTATCGTAAATTTGCTTACTAACGCTTGAGAACTCAAAGCCTAGGCTAACTTTTAATTTATAAAATAAAGTTTAAAAACCCGTTTTTTGCTAAAGAAAGCTATTTATTAAGTAATTAATTTAGCTAATTTATTCTTTTGATGTTAAGAAACCTAAAGAGGAACTAGACTAAAAACGCCGCTGAGCGTTCTCTTTGAACCTAATAAGTAAAGTGTCAAAAGGCGTCCCTGTAAAAGAAAAATGTAAATTTTTAAATTGGACAGACTTGTGACTCAGTGTTTCTACTCAAAATTCAAAATGACATCTAGTACAACATAAAATTGGGCAAGGGGGGAATTCCCGCGGGAATTCCCGCGGGGAACGGAGGGGGGGGGGAATTCCCCCCCTTCCCGTAGAAAGCCATTCCCGTCGTTCCCATCCCCGCCGGGGATTTTCAGTTCTCCCCCCGGCGGGAATTTTATTTATTTTTTTAACAAAATAATTAAATATATTTGTAAAACAAATAGCTTTTTAGCACACTTTTTCGTATAAAATTTCGCGCAAGTTGCGCCCCCTTATTTGTTATTTTTATCAAAATATTTATTTTTGAAACTACTTTTTGAAATAGATTTGATTGTTTTTGCATGTTAGGGTATAATTGGTATGTTATATCTTGGTTTAGTATGGTAGAGTAGGGTGGTAGTATATGGTACGATATGGTACAATATAGTAGTTAGTATAAAGTATGGTAGGGTATAACACGGTATGATATAGTATAGTATGGTATGGAATGGTAGGTGATATAGAGTATGATAGGATATAGTATGGTACAGAATGTGGTATAGAGTATGGTATGATATAGTGTAGTATGATATGGTAGGTAGAATATGGTATGACATGGTATAGTAGGTAGGCAAGGTAGAGAATAGTAGATAACATACGATATAATATGATATGATATAACATGGTGTGGTATAGCATAGTAAGTAGGATAGGCTATGGTATGTCAAGTAGGATGAGTACGATATAGTAGCTAGCATAGGTTATGGTATAGTAGGGTCGAG